GGGTCGTTTGGGAACCTTGTGGCATTCAGTGCACCAGGTCTCTGTATTCGTCCCTTCAAAGATCTTAAATGAGGGTGAATGGAGTCTCTCTGAGCCTTGGTTGGCAATCCATTTAGTGATGGTGTCACGATAAAAACACCCTTGATAGCCCTAGCGAAGCATCAAGAATTCAGCTATTTGACAAGATTATGAACTACACCAATCAAAGTATTGAAGATAATGAATACTGGAAAGGTGTAGTGAGTTCAATCTCGGCTGAGGCCACAAGATGGTTGCTCTTATAGACATAGGGTTACAAGTACAAGCAATGGTGTTGCAGTGTCAGTAGGAAGTGAATTTTTCTGGGGTTCATTTCTAACCTGATGATCAAGATCTATTAACTTACATGGCTAAATGGGCTGCAAGTGTTCTACTTTTTACCTATAGGCAGAGGTGGACAAAGTGGATTTATGCTTTACCAAGGGTATTAGTTCAATGTTTAAACTTTGTTCATCAGTTCCATTTTCTGTGCTCTTAGGACACTTTCACTTTCACAAAAAACATTTCATTATTATTTTCACTTTCACAAAAAACATTATTATTATTATCTTTATTTTATTTCCTTTGATTTCTGATGTGTACTCATTCACCTGGGGACCTAAGGTTAGAAATGGCATCATGACATTTTCTACTGGGAAAAAAAAAAAAACATTACATAGACAAAGCCTGAAAGGATAAAATAAATACGGACATGGGGAAGATAAAAAATAACACAGTTGAGATGAAATGCACGGTGTAGGAAAGCCAGACTCAAAGCGAGTTTGTAACTCTCCAAGTGCAGCGTTCCCAGCTCCTCATGACCTGGACGTTGAGCACAGACACTGTCAATGTGACATTTGTGTACACCCCCCAACAAGACCGAGGGTAGCAAATGCTCGATTACCGTCTTACGCTTTTTACAGAGAGGAAATATGGACAAGTGGTAAAGGACAAGAGGAAAGACATAAGTGGCACATGCTTCAGCCCTGCCTTTCAAGGACAACCCCTTTCGGTGCCAAATCTTGAATGCTACACCAATCTTTGCCCATACTTCTGAGCAGTTTTTCTCCAACTGGGGATTTGGTCCAAACTATGCTCCAAGAATGCAGACAGGACTGTCCATCCAACCAAAGGGCCCTAGCTGCAAGTCGGATGAATTGTTGTAATAAATTTTGGCCCTGTGACCTTTTTGTCCTGATCAAGCACTTTCAGTACCACATCATGCTGCAGGATGATGCAAAAGTAGATACATCATCAGCATATGCTGAAACCCTGGTTCAAGCCCCACCAAGGACAATGATTCCATGTAGGGCCAGACTACAGACTCTCACCCTTAGCTGGTGAAGGAGAGGCTCCAACACCAAAGCATAAAGTAGGGGTGACAGTGGACAACACTGATGAACCAACCAAGACAGCACAAAAGCACATGACTGCCTTCCATTCACCTGCACCACAGCACTGGGGGAGTGATATAGGAGGCTAATCCACCAGCAGAAGTTGGGTTTGAAGGATAGCAGCCAGGTAGCAATGGTCAACCCTATCAAATGCCTTAAACTGATCCAAATTGATCACTGTGGCTTGTTCATTGTCTTTTACGGCCTCTAGGATCATGCGGATCAGATGCAGGTCGCTCTGAATTATTTGGCCCTTCACAGCGCATGTCTGCTCAGCAACTGACTGTAAACGCACTGTCAGGATTTTGGCCAAAGTCTTTAACTCTGTGTTTAGCAGAGTTATGGGCCTATAGTGATCTAAATCCCACCCAACACCCTTGCCTTTTTCAACAGCATGATCACACCTCTGGAGATCCAGTCAAAGATGAACCCCTGGTGGAACCAGTTGTTGAACATGACAGTCAAAATTGGGACGAAGATGTGTGACAGCCTCAAGTACAATTCATAGGGCAAATCATCAATGTCACATAGAAGTTGCCCTCTATGAGCTCCCCCTCATAGCTAGCTGCTTCAGTCAATGAAAAGTCAGCCAAATAGCTGTGAAACTCTTTGTTACAGAGACCAGGATCTATGGTAAACTTGCTCTCAAAATGCCACCAAAATGCCTCACCCATGTCATCAGTTGACTCCAGATTACACCCCTCTGGGCTTTTGACCTCTCAAATGTAGCAACTAGAACCTCATCTCTTCCCTGCGCAATCCTGTACCCATCTTCACAGCTTCAGAAGATATCTTGCTTGTGTCTAATTACCTAACCCATGCTAGCGCTTGCTAGCCAAATGCTCCAGGGCCTCTCTAGCTAGAGCTATCTCTAGGGGATGCTCCCAGCCTCTGCCAGGATCATGGCAACATCCACACTTAATGACAAGGAAACTAAGCAGGTGGGCTGCCTTACTCTGATCCCTCAGGCCATTCATATTTAAGCTGGTTATCTTGATAGACATTCTTTAGGTCTGAAAAGGAGAAAAAAACAACAATAAATCTATTCGCATACAGGGTGGAAATCTGTGGAGGTAAGGACTCAGACAGATTGCCCTAGGCTCTCTGTGCCTGATTCTGACATAATCTCTCCATCTAGGACAATACTGCCGATGTCCCTGTGATACATCAGTTTTAATGCCCTATCTATTGAGGGATGAAGTAATAACGGGACTCTCCCTGCACAGAATTTTGCTAGTTTTTTGAGTTTGGGTGAACTCAGCTCAAATACCTGTATGTTTGGGAAGATGTCTTTCACTTCAAACAGGTGGTACCACACCTTCAGGTAACCCCCATGTCTCTTATACATGTAATAACCCCTGGAGCTTTTGGAAACTTACAGGGGTCCTCCACTGACTTTCCATCGACAGAAGAAAGTTTAAATAAGGGACCTAAAAGGGCTTTTTTTATGGGCAGAAAAGTCCTTCTCTAGCTCCTTCCTGTCCACTTTACATATTTCATCTGGGTCAGGGAAATATTTCTTCTTTTACTTTTTCTCTCTGGCCAGGGAAGGAGTGGCTATGCGAGGGGGTGTAGATCTTAGGGAATGGTGAATGATGGATATTTATTTATCACAATATCCACACTAGAACCAGCAGCCAACCAGGACTTGGAGAATAGGATTGCCTAAGTGGCAGAATAGAACATTCCAGCTTGCTACATATACCAGCTCTTCTAATCTCTGAGTACTGGATAGCTTACAATGCAGCAGAGCACTAATCTGTTTATTCAACAACTATACAATTTTAGCACAAACTATCTGCTAAATAACACCAGAAGATCTCATTCAATATGGTTCCCTTTTTTACTACACACAGTCTTTTGGGAAAGTCATTGATAGTGGCACGCACAGTTTTCATGTGTGTTTTGTCCAATATGCTCTTTGATTTTGCCTTCAGATCTTCAATATTGTGGTATGGAGTAAAACAGGCCTCCCTTTCAAGAATTCCTCACAAATAATAGTCAAGAGCGTTGATATCTGGTGATGATGGAGGCCATTCTTCCTTGATGATGAAGCCAGGACAGTTGTCTCTGCATCATTGCTGTGTTACACAAGCAGTATGGCTCATCACTCTTTTTCTTTGAAGTGTCAAATGTTCATCACCATAACTGGCATTGCACCTGGGCTTGAGTGCACCTTCCAAGATGTCCTCTATGTACACATTCTTGTTGAGCTTTATTCCTTGAGGCACAAAAACAAAAGTAAACTTTCCTCTGTCTGAAATGGCTGCCCAAACCATAAATGCCAGTTTCTGGGTTCTGAGGCATTTTCCTGAAGGAACAGATTAACAGATTTTTGAAAGACTACAATTATTTTGATGATTGAAAGTCTGTTCAACAGTGAACAGTTTCTCATCAGTGAAGGTAATGTTTTGCAGTGTGCCATTACAAATCTGTTTCAGCAACTGTTTACTTTTTTTGAAACCTCTTTTTCATTGTAGCTACTGAAAGAAACTGTTTCTTGGTTATTATGTGGAGAGACATCTCTAGATAATTTTCATATAGCTCCACATCGCTCTCTCTGATGTTCCAGCCACCTAAGCCAATTTTCTCATTAACCTTTTTGGATTAGGCCTGATTTTGATGTGCCTTAATTAGTTTTGAGTTTTGGCATTCTGAAGATGCAAGGATGTCCTGCTCTCAGTCTATCTTTCATAAAGTCCCATTGTATCGAACATAGACATTCTACTGATTTCAAGTTCTTTTCTAGCTTTAAAAATCTCAGGTGGAATCAGTTTGTTTTCATGTTGCTCAAATTATATACTTTCTTTTAATTTCTATAGACATTGTTGCTAGTAAATACTAAAATAATTTGAAAAAACAAATAATATACATTGTTAGGCAAATATCAAACCTAAAACAACAATGTAATGTCCAAAAATTTAGAAGTAGAATTAATTTGAAATTTTGTAACAACATTCATGCTACACCCTGTATATATAAGTGATCATCTTATTGATGACCTTAGTGATACACTTATTTTTAAAATATTTTGTTAAGCATAAATTTATTAAATTTCAAAAGTTAACAAATTCAGTTAATCTGTAATATAGATTTATATTTCAAGTATGAAAGTTTGTACATTTTTATACAGTATATTCTTGGAATTTTTTTTAGTATTGATTATAAATTTAAAAATTTACTTTTTTATGCATTGGTTTAAAATAAAACCTCACTTCTAAATCTCTTTGTAGTGAGTCATGTCAAGTGACATGACATTTTTTTATTCTTTAGCTTATATGTTTATGGTTTTTTTGTTGTAGATTTTACAAGTTGAAGAAATACTATTTTCGCTCTTGATCAATATCAGTTTACTTTGTATGGCATTTTCAATTGAGATTTTAGATTAAGATTTTGCACAAGAAGTGAGTGTTACAGTTAAAAATACATTTGTTTGTACTTCCTGAGATGTAATCAGATATGTTACAAGAAAGAATGTAACTTATTTAATCTATAAATGGTAGTGAATTCAGATGAACATTTTAAATGTAGTTGTTTCTGTCTGATTTTTATTCTATGTAACAGTATTGTCACTGTTTTTATTTGCAGCTCAAAGACACTCACGGCAGTGTAACTATCTGGCATGGAATCCTATCGAGTCAAACTTTGTAAGTAAGAAATCTGGGACAATGAATTGATAAAACTACATATTGTTTCTGATATTCATCACTGGGATTCTTGAAAAAGGATTTACTTTTGAACTTGTCCGATAAACAAATGATCAGTTATTTTTTCTTTTTGAGTCACATTTCAATGCTGACCACACTAAACTGAAGATGCTGCTTGGAAGTAGAATGCTATGAACCTAGTAATGAGGAAGTTAAGAAAGATATCTAAAAAAAACTAAAGAATAATGAAGCATCACTTGACATTGAGGCTGAACTTTTGAAAATAGCATACCTTATCACCAAATTAAAAAACGTTTCTCAATTTCATGATGGAAGTCTGGAATCAGAAGTACATTTCAGAGCAGTGGGGTATAATGCACTATGGAATTAAAAAGATAGTCTTCAAGACCCTCACACATTCAGAAGTACCTCAATTGGATCCATTATGGTAAAAGTACCAATGAACATTGTATTAACTAGGCTCTCTCTGTTCTATGAAAGTTCCTCCTTCACAACCCATTTTGGCTTTCATTATGGTAAGAGGTGTAATGATAGCATAAATCTCATCAAACAAGTCCAGGAAGTTATATGTCTCTCCAATAAAAAATTGTACATTGTACAATTTACATTGTAAATTGGCCTCATGGCAGCATATGGCCACATCAATAGAAACTTTCAACGTCTGATTCTAATGTCTAGATCTGATAGAGGAAGTATATTGGTATACAAAGTTGTACATGTCTGGGGAAAACACCAATACCAAAATATTTCAAACCTTATCAGGTGTATGACAAGGATGCAATGAGAGATCCAATCTATTTAATCTCTTCCTAGATTATACTCTCATGCATATACAAGCATAGATGTGAGGAGATAGTCACTGATCATTTAAGCATTCCATACCACATCCCAAATGAATTAGCTAATAGGAAACAGCATTCCTGCTTTCCCTCCTGAAGCCAATGTACTAATGATGAGCAGTGATATGCTGATGACATAGGTATTCATAGTTGGGATAAAAATGATCTTGAAAAAAAAAAAGTGTTCCAAGAAATAGGACTCAAAATAAACCTTTCCAAAACAGAAACTATGATCTGGAATTGTAATGAAAGCAATGATGCCTCATACCATGAATCTATCATCCATCGTGTATGGATCCATTATAACAAATGTAGTGTGCTAGGGGTAGGTTTGATCAACATCACAAGTTGCTACAAAATCAAAACATTAACCAAAAAAACTCTACTCCTGTTCTTAGAAAGGCTTGTAAGATTGAGACTTTCATATGGATGTCATGCATGCTACCAAATTAGTTCAGAAACATTTAAACCATCAGCTGTATACAACTGCTTTCTTAGATCAATGGTTAAAAATGGCTTTAAATGAATGAAGCCTGTAGGTCTTAGTGAGGACCATCCTTCTTTGAACCTTGTAGATTGGTGATCACAAATAAAGAACTTTACTAGATAATGGAAATCACATCACTTGAGGACTTTTAACAGCAGCAATAATACTATCCAATTTCTTGTTAAACAAAGGAAGCCACACTACTCTGAAACATCGACAACACAAAGAATCTTTAAATGTTTGTTTTAAGTAACAATGTTTAATGTTTGTTTTATAATAAATATTCTGTACTCTTTGTTTTTGTTTTAAATGTTGTAAAAAGACTTGTCCTCAATCACTGGAAAACGTAAGGTTTTATTATTTGTTTACTGCTCTATTGACATTGCTGATATAGATTAATAGATCTCTTACTCTATAAGCTGTGCACATGTTATATTAATTATATGATTGTATTATCTAGTTTTGTGCAACATAGCTCATATAAAAAATATCTACTTGTTACCATTCAGAACTCATAATTTATTTTTTTAAACAACTTTTTAAGAATGTTATTTTCATTTCCTCATTGTTCTTTGTACATTCCAGTTGGCTGCTGGTCTTGATAAAAACAGACATGATGGGTGCATTGCAATTTGGGATGTAAACAGTAAGGTGGCAGAATCCAGCTTACCTCCAGAACGTATGCGTTATAGCAGCAGTGAATCATCTGTGATAACTAAACCCTATTTAGATATAGGTAAGTAATAAACATTTGGTAATGTTAAACCTTTGTTCCCACAAAAAACCAGAGTCAAACGGACTATTATTCTCTTGACACTGCTATTACAGTATACGCTTTTTACTCCCTCAGCAATGTTTGTTTTAAAAAGCAATGATTAGAATTTTAATAAAACTCAAACATATGAAAGTGGATTTATATATTTTTTTCTATTCTTGAAAATTGGCAACAAAGATATTAAGACACTATTTATTTATTAGATTGATTATTTACAAGAATCAACCATATAATAATTATCAGTGTGTGTTTATTTATATATTTCCAGCCTCATCTGTAGTGGGACAGGAGGTAAATCAACTTAAGTTTGTGAATTGTTTTAATCCATACAAATAAAATATTTATCTGCATTTAGACAAAATTAATTCCTGAGCAAAATGAACCATTTAATTAATCAGTCCCTTTACTCTTACATTTTGTAGATTGTAGTCTTATTTTTTCAAGCCTTTCATATGAGGAACTCAGATACCTTTGTCTGTTATGTGATCATCTTGCTTCAACTTGATCTTGAAATAGACATTATCATTACTGTCTTTGTCATTCTGTTACTAATCTTTTTCTTCCAAGATGTATTTCAATTTCACTGTTATATTAAAAGTTCTTAACATAAAAAGATATTGAGCAAAAAGCAATTTATATAATAACAGGAGTAATCAATGAATCATAAATACAACTGTTTAAAAAATATAAACTAAATGGATTAATTATATAGTTCATTTCAGTTTATTTTAGTTGTGAATTCTTTATCTTTGCTTTATTGAGTCTCAATACATTGCTTCAAGACTTTTGTTTCATTGCATCTTGCTGTTAAAACTTTTTAACAATAACAAGTGAATAAAGCCTGAGGGTTTTGTTAAAGGTCATCCTTCTTTGAACTGTCACTAAAGAATCAAAAACAAAGAACTGTATCAAATAACAGAAACCACATCACTTGAGGACTACCAACAGTGGCAACAACAAAAATGGGTAGCACATGTAACTCAAAGAGAAAATAATGACATAATCAAAATGCTAATGTTTCCACACTACTTCAAAGAAAAAGTTAGGAAGGAAACTCGCATTAATACTGGAAAGAGCAATAACAGCTACTGGACTTGAGAAACCTATTTTGAAATTGTTTTAAGAGAAAGATTTTATGGATTTCAACTGAAAGCTGTGCTTTTTGAATAAGAATATTTCTTTTCAAATTTGTTTCTTTATAAAATGGTAAGTAATAAATCTCTATATAAAAAGTAAATAATACATATTACGTTTATTTATTTTTGGAATCTTGTGAATAAATATTGCTTAGAGAGTCAAAAGTGTATACAATAATAGTGGTATCAAGGGAATAACTATCCTTTTGACACCATTTTTTTCTAGGCATTGACCATTTTTCTTAATTACTGTTTAAAAAAGAATCTCTAAAGAATGGCTTGTGGGCTTTCATAACATGGTAATAGCAGTAAATCTATATTTTTATTTTTTTTGTACTTTAATGTTACATTTTCAGTGTGTTGCTGTAGATAATTCAACATACAAAATTAAGCAAAACTGTTTGTTTTATAGAAACAGTTAAGGAAAATTTAAATTACACAAATTATCTTCCTAAGATATTTCTTAGTTAAAAGAATTTTTTAGGGATGAATTTTTTATATCTTAATTTCTTTGGTATGAAGTTATGTAATTTATAGTTTTTGTTTATATGCGACAAATCTGTTAAAATCTGCATTTAAAATTTCTATTTTTTAATTTTATTGATTCCAACATTGAAGATGTTAGAAAATATGTAATATTTTTCTGTATATTATACTTCTTTTTAATTTTAAGAAAGCTAAAAATGCAACTCAAGCGAGTTGCACAAAAAAAATAAAAGGAGGAATTGTGAATGATTTAACATGTTGAGTTGTTGAAGTTTAACAATACACCACTGTCTGGTAAATGAGAAAAAGCTGATGGTGATTAACTAAAGATATTACTTGAAGATAATTTTTTGTCAATTTACCCAAAATTTCAAAATCTTTTTCTCAGTTTGATTGTTTGCTGATATGTCTAACTTCCACATAAATTGAGCCAAAAAACCTATTTGACTGTATTTGAATGTTTCATTTTTGAAACAACTTTTGATAGGAGATAAAAGGTGGATACTTTACAAGACAGAATAGAAGAGATTGTTGAAAAAATCAAAATAAACCATTACAAAGCATACCAAAGTCTAAAGGTGATGTTCTGTTTATAGTGGGATTGGAGGGAAGATATGAGTTTCTTCCAGAAAGTAAAGCAATTGATTTGAGCAAGTTTGACTCCCATTTAAACCAGTTAAAGGCAGCGATCAATGAATAGATTGGTTTCCTGTATTCAGCCAGGATAAGAGGAGATCATGTTTCTTTGGTAACTAAGCAAAAATTCTTAGAACTTGATTCAAGTTTTCATTCACTTGGGGTTTACAGAAACATTATGTTGAAACAGCAGTTCATGTATGATTACTTGTTAAACAATGTCAAGACTAGTCAATACCTAGATCAGTGATCACTTGGGAATATCAGGTACTGTAAGCTTGGATGTGCATGTGGTATAATGGTTAATGGCTTGGAGAACTGTGTTCCAATTCCAGTTGGATTCACTATATTCACTCACGTGCAAATATCCTTGGGGAAAAGTATTAATACACTTTTTTCTCTCCTAAGTATGGATTAAATAGTAAGACTTGTATCACTAAGATCATTATTATCTCAAAAAAATTTCTTACAATGTAAAAAATACTCTATGGCTTTAAATAATCTGCAAAGGGTTAAGCCGTAGAAAATGAATCAATCACTCCCCCTGTTATATTCAGCATCTTTGAATTACCATATATTCCATTCTTCACAGAATTCTTTTAATGAAAGAGATTTAAAATACCTGAAAGACTGAAAAAAAAAAAAAACACCTAATGTAGTTATCTGCTGAGAAAAGTAGACGGGACAGAATCATGAAGGATGAGTGGCAAGGGATGGGGTCATGGAAGGTGAGCAAGGAGTGACAGAATCATGGAAGATGCTAAAAGATAAGAAAACAAAATAGTAAAGATATTATTTAATGAAGTCAATTATTTTATTTCTGTTTAATAAATGGAATTGTTTGTTTTTTTTTGTTTTTTTTACAGTGGTATTTGGAATATTTTAATGCAATTAGACAATAAATATGAAAATTCAAGATAAACAGAAAAGTTATTGTTTTTCTTTTCTTTGCAGGGATGTCTGAGTCTAGCATATCATTTTGTTGGAAACCTGGAGAGTCAAAGACATTTGTGACAGGAATGAGTAAATGTCTTCGAGTTTATGATATGCGTGGTTAGTAAACCCTTAAATATGTGTTATCATCATTTTTATACAATGTAAATGTGGTATTTGTCAAAATATTTTGTCTCAAAAATGGAATGTTTGTTATTGATGGCCTAATAGTTCTAAATAAATGATCAGAAATATTGCAAGCTTAACCTTGAAGTGGCTATATTTTGTCACTTTAATAGCAACTAACAGAAATATCTTGCATTGCCCCGGCAAAAATAACTTCAACTGTAACATCATAGGAAAAATGTTCTTATACAACAATCCCTTAATCTATCCTGGGGGTATCAGGTTTCCAAGCCCCATTATGTGCCCCAGAAATTTCAATCACTTCTTCCTGATGTTAAGTAGAAGTTTCCTTTTTGTTTCCATTTCCTCCAAAACATTTGTGGTTGCTCACATGTTCAGCCCATGGTACCCTCAGCATCTTTCTGTAGAACCACATTTTTGTTGCTTCAAGTCTCTTCATCTTTGAGGAGATTGTCCAGCATTTGCTGTAATACAGGAGGACTGATATTATGTAACAGTTCAGTACTTTTTTCTTTGTTTCTAACAAAATTTTTCTGTCTCTTAATACTCTGCTTACCTTTTGGAATGCATCTTTGGCCATACCCTTATGTAGCTGAAAAAAAATAAAGATTAATCCTGAAAATTTTTGTCAGAAAATGTTTTCCAGCCTACTTTGAATCTCTGATGAATGATGGTTGTTTAACACATTCAATACCATAGGACATTAACATCTTTCTACTACTTTATCTGTTAAGTACCAAGTGATGTTCATTTTGTAACATTGCCACTTTGAATTTCATGCCTTGTTTTCATTTTCTCCTCCACATACTTTTATGGCTAATACCTGATTTCCAGTATTTAGTATCTAAGGAATCCCTTTGGTCTATTCTTGGTCAGCATGTATCAGATGTTACTGAACTGCTGTCTTTACCAGAATTCATTTTGTTTATCTATTTTATTTCATTTTTGTTTATCTATTTTAGAACCTAGCAAACCTCAGATCTCCACACAAACCAAAGGACTTTATGGTGTTACAATAGATCCATTGTTTCCTGAAAGAGTTGTATCTTTCACTGAGGTAAGATTTATTTTATTTTTTACACAACATTGTAAAGTTATTTTCTGGATTATGTTAATGCTATGATAGATAATAATAAATCCAAGCTCTTTAAGAGGTTAATATTCTGAGTGAGTTTGCAAAGTATGAAGGTAGCAAAAATCAATAGCTAATGAGCTGTGAATTATACCCCTGGTAACAAGAATTTGCAGGTGGTGTAATCAATAGTGGCTCGGTTTGAGAAATCTGAGAGCTATGTTCAAATTTCAGTTGGGTTTGTGCATTCACTTACATGCGAATGCCCTTGGGAAAGGTATGAATCCATCTCCTCCTCCCAGCTATGGATTAAATAATAGGATTTATATTTAGAAAAATTATTGTTACTAGCAAATTCTCTATCTTATAAACATTTCTCTTAATAATAATTTTGAAAATATTTCAGCTGATGATGTTATTTTATTTATGCTAACTGGATTTTTAGCAATTGCCTTACTTGGTTTCCATTGATCGATACTGTGCATTCGTAAAATGGCTCTTTTAAAATGATCACCAACATTTCTTGGCCTTTTGGCTAAGATCAAAATGTAGTATCTGTTCTTATCTGCTTAATCTGATTCTTTCTCTCCAGTTCTAACTACACTTTCTTTCATTTTCTCACTGAAACCAAGTAGTGTCTTTCCCCTCTTTTCACACAATCAAAACAGATATAGTTCATTATTTATAAAGTATCGGTAGGCCGTAATGGTTGTGCGAACTGACGGAGTGAGGGACAAGCACAATGGTAATAGGATTCTCAAAAACCTGTTAATACAATATTCACTCATAAAAGAAAAAGAATTCTTACAATCTAAAATATGTTTCAGCTTTAAATATAATCACAGAAACTTATAAAGTATTCGTGATGCCCATGGTTGGCCATGAAAGAAAGAAATTGCATGCTTGTATCTATAATAAAGACTTTGTTTGAAGGATTAGCCTTTTTGATATTAGTAGGATACAATGCGGTGGTGTTTCAATTGTAGTAAACTACAACTGAAAGAATTAAATTTGATAATAGGTAGATTGTAGTCGTAATATTTTCATGGATAATATTTCATGGATTTTATGTATTCAGCATAAGTCCTTAATAAAAATGTTTCATAATTTTCCCAATTCTTTACATAAAGAAAAACTTTTTTGTGAATCTTATAAACACCTGAACAATAGACAGTCCTCCCTCCCAGCATACCCCCATGTGTATATGCAGCCATAAAATGGTTGAAGGTATCTAATATCCAAGTACTATGTTAATAAGCATGGTACACAAAAGTCTTACAACTTAATTCATTTTCTGACACACTCTGGTAAAAATACTTTTGTGTGAATGCACCAGCTGGAAATAATTTAAGTTTGAGACCTACCTTGTGAATTCATGCTTACAAAATGAATGGAGTTTGTGGCTTGACATAATGATTTGTGATAAAAACCAATGCTATTGATGGTTGTGTTCTTAGTCCTTCAGTTTTTCCCAATGTGAGTTGAGCATAGGCATACATATTTGCCACTTTTACAGTTTTATGGCTGACTCATTGGTGAAGAAACTAATTATGTTTGCTGCTTGATTTTTTTTTTTTTTTTTTTTCTGAAAAGATGAATTTGATAAGTAGCCAGGATATTCACATAACCTCATATTTAAATATAAATTATGAATTTATCATGAAGGACCATATTGCAAATGATATCTTAAATTTGCTCAAAGAGCAGCAGTATTTAATTTGTGTAGTTATTTTTTCTGGTGGAAAATAAAAAAAAAATGTAATTTTGTGTTGTTTAGAACAATGTTGGCTTTATTAAATATAAATTAATAAGTAGTATTTTCAACTTACAGTACATTGTTATGTTGGCTACTCATTGACTTTAGATACATTTCAGTCACATCAAGCATTGTATGACACTTTTCAAAATGTTTGAAATTTCTTAGTATTTTATTTCAGATTATATTTACATTTTGTTTTGTTTTTTCAGAATCAAGTTTTTGTGTGGAACCTCAAGAATTTACTAGCTCCTGTATCCTTTCTTAAATTATATAGTTATTGAAAAACTGAATGAATTTAGAATAATTTCACATTTGGATTTTAATATTTAACTTTAAGCAGAAAGTTATTGTCAAAATATTAAAAAAACACTTTAGCATTTGAAGAAAAAAAATTAATGAAAACTTTGGATAGATGCAACTATCTTTTGAAAGATTTGTTAGAATTTGATTGGAATGTACATCGTACGTATGCATCAATTGCCTGTGTAAAATCTTGAACTTGCCAAAGGAAGACAAAATGTCTATTTCACAAATAACAGTTGCTGATTATCTTATGATTGCATTAAAATACATGAAATTTGTAGTTGTGGTTGGTCACTGTTCACCAGGAATTTATTATTGTAAATTTATATTTGTGTGCATGTTACTTTTTACAAATTTAAACTTAAAAAAAATTTGTATGAAAAAAATTTTTTTTTTCTTTTTAATATTACAAACTTTATCATGAATACCTGCAAAATATATCTATTTTTGTTTACTGGCCTGAATGTTCAAGAAATTAAAGAAAAACTGGCCCTCTCTGACAGGATTCTAACCTGCTTCTCCCTGGGTAGAAGGAGCTACTATAGATCAAACACTCTAACCATCTGAGCTACAGAAAAATAGCTGATCAGGCAAAGCTGAAATTGTGCCTTTAAGCAAAGCTTCTTTCATCATAGATTTCACCAAATTTTTCAAATCTGCACATTTTCTACCCAGGGAAATGCAGGTTTGAATCCTACTGGAGAGTGCAGGTTTTTCTTTAATAAGATTTGAGCATTCAGGCTGGTACATGAAAATAAATAAATATACTGTTTAATAAATAAACAGATTGTCTACTCAAATACAAGTAGCCACTAAAAATGACATTTAAAGTGATAAAAAATCTGTCAGATTAATAAAAATCCATTACTTTTACACACTGAAAAGTTCTTGGCCTGACCCACTCCACAAAATCTAACCAGAATTTCCTTTGGAATCTTCTTTTGTGTAACAATGGATATTGAAGTAAATTCAAATTGTTCTCCCTCTTATATAAATTTATTTAATCCCCAGATATTGAAACTAAAAAAAAAAAAAAAAAATGTTTGATCTTATTAAAACCTTGACTTACAACTCTAGGAAATTACCATTTCCGAGTTAAAACCAGTACAAAAAGTCAGTTGGTGCCCCACACGGTATGTACACAACTTTTAAATATTTTTAGAAATAATTATATAATGATAGAATTTATATTTATGACATTTTTTTTTTTTTTAAAGTTCATTGTTCTTTGGAAAATGTTGTTGAAAGAATGTGAGCTTTGAAAATTTATATATTTTATTGTATCTGTTTTAACACAAAATAGTTATCATCTTCTTCATTGCTCTGATGTTAAGACTATTTTGATTTGATTTATGGGCTGAATGAAAATGGTTTCCTGTATTTTTTTATTTCTATTTTTTTTTTTTACCAGTGAAAGTTTTCTCCCTTGCGTTGTTGTAATATATTTTCAAATAACTGTTTTGCAAAATGGCAGCATCAAAATGTTTATCTGATAAAAGTATATCCTAAAGTTTTTATTTTATTTTTCATGCAGAGATGGCTTCTTGAGTATTTTGTGCAAGGACAGTTGCTCAATTCGACATTGTGATATTATTCATACATCTACTGGTAGGTGTCATATATCTCCTTTTATTGCTAATTATCTGCATCCAACAAATATATAATCTTCTTTGACATATTATAATCTTTTTCAACATTAATTCTTTCCTTAAACAAAAAAGAAAGCATAAGAGAAGAGATGATTGTAGATATTTGTAAAGCTTAATTTGGTCCAGCATTAGGCCAAAATAGTTTGGCATCCACTGATGATCAAAATCTCTACATTATTTACTAAGACTATATTGCTATCCATAACAGTGAAACAAGCTTTCAAGATTATTTGCATTATAAATTACTTACATGTATAAAAGCAACAATGTAAAGTATACATTAAAAGTGTAAGGCTTGCATTGATGTGACATCTATGCAATGGAAGGATAAAGATTGCATTGACATGGCATTTATGATTATGCATTCAAATAGTATTCTAATATTTATCCCAAGTTTTTTCTTTTTACAGAATCAGATAATCTAGAGCCAACATATATTCAACGGTATTCCCTTTGTAAGTATTTTACTCAGTTTTAATGACATATCTTTTTGTTTATGTTTGGTTAAATTTTTGTTGAATTGCTAATTAATATCTTGGCTATACACCAGTCATGAGTATTATTCATGTGACATTGTTATACTTAGTATTAATTTTTAATGCTAGCTAAGGTATCAGTCAATGAGCCTATAATTATACATTACTATATTATGTATTTTAAATTTATATATATATATATATATATATATATAAATGTTTTTTCTTTTTTTTTAAATATATAATCATTGCAACACTGAAATTACCATGTTTCAAAACTGAAACTTCAATTTAAATTCAATTATACAAATTCAATTTAAAATATAAAGTTCCATTCTATTTCAAGTGATGCTAAGAATAACTTTTTGAAATTGATTCACTTAATTTATAAGTCCAGACAATTTTGAGATGTTGGGGTTAAGGAAAATTCCATATGTTTTATTTTAGGGGTCAAACTTATTTAGAAAACTCATGTTTCTAATGTATTGTAGCTATCAAGTTGGTCAAGATGGGGGATGGGATATCTGTCTATTGATACAAACTTCCTTTTTCCAAGTAGAAATTTGTGATAGTGTCTATGTTACAACACATCATCTGGGTTTCAATGGCAATACATTTGGCATTTTTATTTTTTTTATTTTTATAAATTTCAATTACGATTTTTTTCAAAAGTAGCATTCAAATATTATTTAGTCACATTTTTAATATTTACGTTTTTATTTTTTGAGATATTACATTTTTATTTTTGTTAAAATTAATATATTAGAATCTAATTATGTATTTATAAACAATTTTATTTTTCAAATATAACTATATATTTTTCAAAAATTAGTTATTACTTAAGGAAAATATATATATATATATATATATATATATATATATATATATATATTATATATATATAAGAGTTTGTTGTGAAACCCAGAGTCACAAACTCACATCTATCCAACCAAATATGTTAGCTCTATCTCTGATATTGAGCGCTTTCTAATAAGTACCGTATATATAATATATAAATAATTATACATACTTATATTTTTTTTATATACATATTTATATATATATATATATATATATATATATATATATATATATATATATACACACACACACACACATGTATATGTGTGTCACAGCAGTTTAAAAGCCTTGTTTTTGTCATATAGGAAAATCCAACATGGCGCGTAAACGAAATATTCAGCGAAAAATCTCATTCATCAGTAACATTTTAAAAACCTCATAGAATGTAAAGTTCTTAAAGCAAACCCATGCCAAACTGTTTTCCTGAATCCTTGATGACTTGGCTGTCCTAAAATGATAACATCAAGATGAAATAATGGAAACTGACCGTGAAAAATACAATTACGTGCAACAGGTTTTTGATCAATCAGTAAAATTCTGGACCTTTTCGGGTGATATTATAGGATCCAAACGGCTATTGTTTGCACGTAGAATTATTCACTGGTAATTAATCTTCAATTTGGCTGTGGAAAATGTTGCTCGGCGGTTAGCATTAAGAAATTATGCCCAATTTTCTGAGAAAAATCACCATTTTTTTATGAAAAATATTTATTTTTGCTGTAAAATAACATCATTCAAAATTCATTCCTTTCTCCTTTATTTGGCATGAACATCATTGAATAAAAGGAACGACTAAATGGCCCGGCAATGGGAAATACGAAAGATATGTGGTGAAAAAAAACAATGTTGTCTGCTAAGTGTTGTTGTCATCACCTGGGTCATGAGGTGTTAAAAACAAAACAAAACACATCAAGCCATTGTTCAAACATAGGTTATATCAAGCCCTAGTAATGTTGACCCTTTTGTTTCACTCTTTGCTTTTATCTGGGAGTGGTGGGTTTTATTACAACTTGTTCTAATGTTTATTGCTGGCTGACCTTTGACCCAGATGCGAATCTGGAGAATATTTTTTTCAATCTTGTGCTTTATTTGTATGCAACTATATGGCAACAAAGTATGTAATTTAGAAATGCTTTTTTCATACAAAATAACTTTTTAATTAATGTAGGTGTTATCTTATTCAAAAGTGAGTAGCACAAGTCTGTTAAATACCAACCCAAGGAAAAAAATGAAAACATAATTAAATGAAACAACAAATATATATGTTAATTAAGTCTAATCCTATTGACAAATCAATGATTTTGGAATGCAATTAAAATAAAAAAAAGAAGATATTGTCTATGTTTAGGATCACATCTTTCTGCTCAATTGACTTTATGGCACAAAGTCAAGCTTACCTGAAAAAGAAACTTTGAAAATGGTGGGTAAAAAGAAACTAGAATAGTTTTACATTTATTTCATATACTAAGTGCTTTCTCTTTTTTTTCCACAGGTGAAAAGAATGGCGCTATTTCATCATTTGCTTGGCATCTTTCTGAAGAAAACCGGTTCCTTACCATTACACCCAATGGTGTCTTATCTGATGTCAAAATTTTCAATCGAATTGCTTTGGTGTGTTATTTTCTCATTTTCATTTAACTTATATTTTCTATTAGATGTGTACAAAGGTTCCTAGTGTGGTCTTTTTTTTTTTAACTAGACTAAAACACTGTTGACAACAAGTCTTGTTTTCTATATTCTGTGTTGAGAGAGAAAGAAAAATGGCAACCAAGGAACTACATGTATGACGACGCATGTTCCTTTTCAAGTTGGGCAAAGCAGTTGCAGAAGCTAAGATGATGATTGTAGAAACATATGAAAATGGTTCAGTTGGAAGCAGTATATTTTGTGAATGATTTATAAAGTTCAAAGTGGATTTGACTTGGAGGACAAACCATGCTACACAAGATTTTGAAAGTGATGACTTATAAGCTTTTTGGATGATGACCATACTCAGTCAACATTTAGAATTGACAGAAAAACTTCATTTCACTCACGTAACTTGTGAGAAAGATTCAAAAGGCAGGAAAATGACTTCCACATGAATTGTCAGATAGAAATATTTGATCATGTCTCATTTTAGTTATTGCCAGATATTAAAAAATCCTCTGAAAGATTTTCACTGAAGATAAAATGTGGATCCACTAAGATAATCTGAAGCATTGAAAATCATAGCAGGATTAAGGCAGTTTGCAGCATCAGCATCAAAACCTAAGTTATACTCTATATATTAAGTAGGATATAAAATGTAAATTTGCAGGTAGTGCAATGGATAGTGGAAATTGGCAGGCCAGATAAGAATTTCAACCAAATTTGTTACATTCACCTATTTACAAATATCCTTTGGAAAAGTATAAAGCCATCTCTTCTCCCCCACCAAGCTATGGGTTAAATAGTAGTGTAGACTGGGTTCTCTAGCTGTGGTTTTCAACCAGTCTAGGCGAAAGACTACTCTGATTTCAGAATCATATGTTGCCCTTGTGTGGCATATACTATGTTACCATCGACAAGATCATGGAGTTCACAGTGACGTTATAATCTCAACTGCATTTGACCTACAACTGCATTGATGTATTATTATTATTATTATAAAACTTGTGCTGTATTATGAATTTGGAAAGCGCAGTGAAATTGTTACTGTAGTGTCACTTTCAATGTTTGAGTGCTACAATTAGAGAGAAAAGGGCATTTACAGGATGGAAATTGGGAGAGTTATATATATGGACATGTGTTCTCTATGATGATGATTAAAAAATAGCAGTTTCATTTTTGAGGCATCAAAATTTGCAAGCCATTTCTTGTCCGAATTAACAATTGATTGGAAGTTGTTTTCAAGAGCAGCTGCCAATTTTAATTTGTTAGACCTATCACTTACTATTAAGACAGGAGTAAATAGTTGTCATCAACATAAATATTTAGCTGGGAACTTGTGAAAGGCTATATGGTGTCTCATTCTATCAGCAAATGACAACTTGGCTTCATTAAGGATATGCTTATACTCATTTATGAGCAGATACAAAAAGAGGTCTGTTGTAATCCAAACTGTCATGCTGGCATAGCCAGAAGTGATCTCTGTGGCTGTAGTTGCTGAACAGGCAGAAGAAGTTTGTGGTTTCATTTGGTATTTCTATGCTAGCATGAATGCTTTGATGCCAGCTTCCAATGGGAAAATTAAAAAATTTCACTCCACGTGGCATCACAAAGAAAATCATGAAATGAGTCCAAATCAGTGAATTGGTAACAAAAAGATGTTCTGTGAATAGTGGAAATAAATATCTACAGACACTACTGCATGAATAGTTGCTAAGTGCACTAAGAGGAGGTATGAAACAGGAAGAGAAATCTATTTGTGTGAGAGATTGAGCAATTGAGAAATTCAGCATTTGGATGCTGGTGACACTTGACATGATGAGCACTGAAGTCACCAGATGCAAAGATATTTGCAGACAAATGAAGAGACAAAGCTATATCTATACTGTCAGATATTCTATCTAGCAAGCAGCAGTCCTGAGAAGGGAGGGAAACAATAAAAGAGATAACTGAGTTTAATAGTGAAAGAAATAAGAATAATCCAGAGTCTTGAGTGACAATTCCCTTACCACTGGGGGATTTTCACAAACATAGATACCAAAAACCATGCATGTGGACCCTAGAGTCCTTTTGGTAGAGAGGGGGATAATCAGGAACAGAGAATTCAATGGTAGAGATTGAGGAATTTAAGTTAGTTTCACAGAGAGCTAGGATGTCTGGAGAACATTCCAAAGGAAACTATTCTACAATGCAGAAATTCATACAAATACAATGAATGATGGACAAAGGAAGGTTGAGGAGTTTAGGTGTTGTTTTTTCCAAAATGGTTAAGTCTTATTTTTATTAGTCATTGTAGACATATGATAAAATTTTAAGGTGAAAGAGTCCAAGAATAACAGTCACTAAGACAATAAGTTGGTTGGAAGGTGGTGAAAACTACAGCATAGTGTAGCCTCAGGGTTGCCTACTGGAAGTGCTTACATGGACATCTATCTATACATGAAATGGCACTACAAGAATCCCAATATTATATGACTGTTGACAGGAACAGCCTCTCTAAGTGCTACCAAAGAGTTTGGGCTTCTTTCTACCAGTTGGAATGCAGCAACCATGAAAAGTACTCTCAATATGAGTTGTAGCCGCCAGCCAGTCTAAGTGGTTTTTTGATAAGTTGGGATTGCTTAAGAAGAGCAATTATCTTTCAGATTTCAAACCTAACTCTCCTATGCCCCTGGCTGGGTGGTTGTCAGGGTAAGGGGAGGTCAAAAAAAGAGAGAAAGAGAGTGTATATTTATTTGTTCTCATACAGTATCTTTTAGAACTGGTATAATTAGAAATGTAAATTTGTACAGTGGACAAATTTTTAAATCTGCTAATATAAAGGTTTATTATTTTATATTTTAGGACTGGTCAAATGAGTTTGCATTAACAGAAGTATCAGGTAAATACAGAGAAGAAATCCACCTTTCAGCTGATTTGGAAAGGAAAGATATTTGTATGATTATGAAAGAACGTGCAATCAATGGGTATGGCATGGAGGTAGGTATCTATTGAGAGGGAAGTATCAATCTTGTATGTGCTGTGTCCCTTCAGGATGTAAATAATCATGGCTCTCCACAATTTCCTGTCATTTGTAGCGCTTAATAAATTTTGTCTTTTTGTTATCTCTCCTAAACCTTGCTCCATCATCCCTTTACTCAAACTTGTTAGGGAGGCTATCTGTTATTTTCTGTTTTTCTTGCCTTCAATCTGTCCTGTCAGTATCAGATTTTCCAAGCCCTCTAAATATTTCCAGTTTCTAAATATTATTATGCTTTTCTCTTCAAACCAATTTGATTGTTATACTCATGTTATGGTTGCTGTGCCTACAGACACTTGAAGAATGCAGGCAGTTATGAAACCGTGTTAGTATAAAAAATGGTTTGAATAGCAAGACACATTGATAATCTTCATCTCAAAAATTCAGGCATGACATTTTTTACAATTTCCAAAGAAGTAATGGACTTTTTTTTAAGTTTATTAATCTGACAGATTTTATTACTTAAATGTTATTTTTAGCAGATACTGATATTTGAACAGTCTACCTCACTGTTGTAGATTAAATAAAGGGTTTAGTTTGGAATTCCCTGTTGGTTACCCAGATCAATATATAACTGATGAAGGCTAGATGGCACAATGGCCAAAACATTGCAATAACAACAAAGATGATGATAATAGTTCAAATGTAAATAGTGTAAATAATGATAACTCCATGTCCCAGAAATTCCAATAGAAATGATATCATTTTTTTTTTTTTTAATGTAGTCTATCTGAACAACTTAATCTTTATACTCTCTATAATTTTTCTTTCTCATTGATTTTTACTTAAATTTATTCTTTTTATTTCTAGATTGACAAACCAGGAAGAAATGCCAAAGTGGTGTTTGATGATCCGGTTTTGTGTCGGCTCTGGACATGGATGGCTTGTATCCTTTAATCTTTTTCTAACTTTACATTCCCCACCTGCTTCAAAGTATATCATTAAAATTATCATGAAAAATTCATGTGGTTGAATTAAGCATATCTTGCCTATTGTAGAGTGAAAAGTGGAATTTGCATGCCCAGTTCAAATTCTGTCTGAATTTGATGCATTCACTATTGCATGAATACCTTTGGGAAAGGTATGAATTCATCTTTTCTCTCCCTAATTATATGTTAAATAATGGTGAGACTGGCAGAGTCTAGCCTTGGTTGGCAACCAGTCTAAGCAAAAAACTCTGAATTCAAAATTAGTTGGGTATGGGGTTGGTAACTATATCCAGTAAAACCACAACAGCAGCATGTGAAGCTGTAGTCTTATTCTCCGTTGAGTGTCTAACACTAAAGAAGAGGTGAAATGGCACAGTGGTTTGTTCAATCTTCTCTTGGTACTCCATTATTTTGGTCTTGTGCCAGACTAAAGTAAACTTAGTAATTATGCTTTGACTAATTATGGTCATGTATCAATAAAAATGTTCATTATACTAATACTACATCCATCAGTAGAGAAAAGGATAGTGTATATCATACAATTCTTCCCATATCGTATTGATGACAATCATTTAATTTGGACCACAAGAAATCAAAAGCAAAAAAAGTAATGAAAATTTGGATGTTGTGACAAGAACTTTATTGTTAGTTAACTCAGAGTGGGGTCTGACAGCCATCAGAATTTTAGAAATTCAGATAAGACTTTTGCAATGTAGAACATAGAAACAATCAAGCTGGCATTCAAGTTGTTGAACAAGAACCTTAGTCTGAATTAATTTGGTTGTTGCCTTTATTTGATAAACTTAGTGAACTCTTAAAAAATAGTAATGTCAAGTAAATTGAGAATTCCTTCCCTAATATTTTATTAAATCAAAGCCACTCAATCAGTGATATTTCTAAAATGAAGTAACCAGCAGAAATAACTCTCTAATTATTTTATTAATTACAGTTGTTAACTATTCTATAACAATCAGTAAGTTGGTTAAGCTGTGGGTGGCAATTTTTAACATTATCTGCCTTGGTGCAGCAACTCCACATCTGTTTGTTCAAAGGAAAAAAAAATTTATGGTGATTTCTTTTATTATAACTAAATTCTTTTGGTAAGATTCCAAACTAGTTTTGTCTGTATTTTCTTAGAAAATAGAGTTCTTAAAAGGCTTGGTTTTATGATTCCTACTTATGTTGTGGTGTCAGCTCTGAATGAGAAATCGGAGAGCTGAATTTGAATTCCAATCTGGTTCATTACATTTACTTACGCGAAAACACCCTTTGGAAATGTATGAATCTATCTCTTCTCCTCCCAGCTATGGGTCAAATAACAAGACAGACTGAGTCCTACAGCTTTGGTTGGCAACCAGTCTATTGCAGAAAGAAATAGCAACTTACTGCAGGAAAATCTTCTGCATACTCAGTCATAAATTGAAAGAGACTCATTTCTTACCCAAGTGTGTATCATATATAACGCTTAACTGACTTGGACTCGTCTAGATTTGTACACTTACATGTTTGATGTCAACCAACCTCTTTTTTTTTTTTTTTTTTTTCTGAGTTGTCAATATATATATATATATATATATATATGTGTGTGTGTGTTATATACAATTAGTATTATAAAAACAACAAAAATGCTTTGTTTAACATGTTTTTATTGAATTCGTCCTCTCTTCTAGGTAGGTGTTTGGTATCAGGACAGAAGCTGTACAATTATTTATTGAATTCAATGCACTTTCAGTTTTCCTAAACAATTTTCAAAGATATTTGTTTTGATAAAAATACATTAGTATTTTCAAACTTATTTATGTCTTAAGTATTAGCTTCAATGCCATGTCTAGTTAGAAGAGAGTTAAAAGTAAAAATATACTTAAAGAACTTTTGTTGATCTATGAAAGAAAAATTGCTATCAAAATATACTTTATACACAGGCAGACACAAAGCATATGTTTAAAAGATTATATTATACAAACTTTATTTTGCTTCCTTTTTTTATTTTGTGTTAATTTTCACTTTTTCAAATTTTATGATTTTGAGAATCAGTTATAGTTTAGCATGGTGGTGAAAATAAAGAAAACTTCATCTCAGTAAGTGTAATATCCCAATGAATAAACAGTAAATTTATGATCAATTAAAGTATGAATTATTATCTTGGAAAATGTGTGAACAATTCACCTACCCAACAGTTTATTTGTTTGTTTTCAAGTAAAAATGTCAAGTTGGTTAAACTTGTAGTTGATATACCTCAACATATGCACACACAGGAATGTTGACTAGTTAATACCAGCAGAAGTTGCTTACTGTTAACAAAGACAGTCGACCCCATTTTGTGTCTCTGCAGCACCCACATCTCGTTTTGCTTTCTTTGAAGCCCCCTCATATATAAGGTTTTAAAAACCAGCAAAAAAAACTGTTTTTTTCTTGGTACTCATAAAAATTGTAGCATGAATATATATTATTATAATAATTCTTCTTGCTGATGGAAATCTCTTCCGACTTCCTGTTATCTGGTCAACTTTTTAAATTCAGTGTCAGTTGTTATCTTCTGTCTTCTTAATTCTTGTTCTTTTAGTGTCCCATCTCATTAATAATGTTTTTTTTCCTCATATTCTCTCACACTCAGTAACCCCTTGTGTCTTAGTGGCTTTATTGCCTTGCTTAGGGTGAAATGATTAAAAAAACATTAATGGGATATTGGATGCAATCTCAAATTTCTTTGGAAACTATACTTTATTTTTAGTTCTTTAAGTAAAACATACATAATTATGATAAAAAGCAACAACATAATGAATGCTAGCTAAAAATTTAAAGAAAATATCTTAATGTTTTTCATCAAATGAGATGAAAAACATTATCCTCATTATACTTAGAATTATTTAAAATACATTTTTGAAAAATATAAAATTATACAGAGCAAAAGAATGTTTTAATTATTTTTATCATCTACTTTAAAGAAATTATTTTTTGGCTTGTTATAGAGAATTAGAAAAATTTTGTGAAAGTCAATCTTTGCTATTATTGTTTTGTATTGTCAGCAGGAGATGAAAAATAAGTGTTTTTGAAAATGACACATGAAATAGTATCAGTTAAAAATAGCAAGTGTAATTACAAGGGGAATGATAATTAACTTTTCTAATGACAAATTAGATGATAGTGATTAAAACTGGTCATTTAATTGAATTTTGTTCACTTAGTTTATAGTCTAAAGTGCAGAGTTAAAAATAGCAGGAAAATATTAATCAAAAAGTGCAATGGAAGCCCTTAAGAGTTTGCTCTTAATCAACTGTCTACATTCAGTTTGGGACATTTGACACCCAGAATAAGAATCTCTACAAGGAAAATATTTACCAGTGATTTAAAAAAAAAAATTTCTCTCTCAAGCTAATATCTTTTTCCGTCTTTCTTTCATTTTCGTTAAAGCAAGCTTATTTTTAAAGACACTACAAAGTAATATCCGATATTTTGTATTGACAATGGGTTTATACTTCCTGTATTTGGCTGCATGCATTATAAACTGAGGGATTTTTTATCTTTTTTATTTTGGATTGTTTTCTATTGGTTAATTTCCTTAACAAGTTTTTTTTTTCCAGTGGCAAAAGAACTCAGTAAAGATAAAATGAGAAAATCTGCACAAAATTCTTTTTATGGTGTGGAAAGTGTGCTATCAAATTTAAAAAGTGAGAAGACAGCTGTCAATTGGCAGGGACTGGAAGCTAGTGAAACTCGTGCCAAATATCTTTACCGCAGTGAAGAAAGGTAACCAAAAATTTTAATTAGCCTATGTTTATGTTGATTTTTTTTTTTGATTATATTAAAACATCCCTGGAAAGTATTTTTAATGTGCAGTATTTAAATTAATAAAAATATTAGCTGCTTTTGATAATATAGTTGATTATTGTCTCTTGAAATGGTGCATGTAATTGGGTTTGTGGAAACAATAATAAAAATTGTTAATGCAAGATATTCAGCAATTTGTTTAGATCCTAAAAATATCATGACACTGTTCAAAGCTCATGTTTGTGACATGTGTGATGGAATGAAGTCAAAACATGCCATCTGATCATGTGACAAGTACACATCAGGATAACATGTCTTTGTATATTTAATTGCAGTTTGTTCTTTCAGTTTATAGTCTAAGTGCAGAGTCAAGATTAACAGGAAAATTATGAATCAAAAAATGCAATGAAATAGGGAAGCCTTTAATCCTGTGTTAGTCGGTTATATTGGGTATTTTGTTACCCTAGAATTATTAAAGTACTCATTTCCTAGTTGGCAACTTGTTTCTTTTGCTTCATCCTACTATACTCTAGACTCAGTGGGGATGTGTAGCATATGGTGTGGTGCAATTGTAACTCAGTTTTCATAGGAGGCAGATGTTGCTTTGTCTTCTGGGTATCTTGTCAACCAAGAATATAAGTTTTTTTTTTTTATATATATATATATATATATATATATATATATATATTTACAAATTCATGAATTATTCACACAAAAACAAATGCAAAGGTTAATGATTTAATTGGCGAGAAATCCATTGTCGCAAACAATTCAAATAATATACAAAAACCTCCGAATCCGTTTATCGTAATATATATATATATATATATTTATTACTCTTTCTGCCCTGTAATATTTTTCTATTCATTGAAATATATTCTGGCTATTTTTGATGAATAGTTCATTTCTCTATTATTGTATTGCTGAGACAAGCAGTGTCTCACTCATGGGGGACAAGTAGAATCCCAATTTGACATAACAGCAGTTGATAGTTAAATGTAGAAATGCTTTTTAGAACCAGGAGAAAAAAACTTGAGAGTTGACTTGATTACATTTAATGATTACTGGTTGGATAGGATGGGGGCATCTTTGTTTATTTCCACAAAGTGGGTGGAGTTTCGGACATATGAAGGTGACTTTCCAATCAATGGGTCAATTATATCTACAAGGAAGCAACTCAGAGGGTGGCACACAGTCTTGGCAACTAACAATCAGCCTAAGTGGAATACTGTGTGAATCTTAGGGAAACCGTATATGTGAGGTAAGCTTGGTGTAACACAAAGTGATCCTTGTTCTTGATTAGTATCTGTGACAGTTTGTGTTCTGTTTTCATTGTAGGATCCTTTTTTACTTTGCTGTAGCTACCATTTTTAATGAGGTCTTCCAGATTTCCTATATAATCTGATTTGTTCATCACTACAATTGCATTGCCTTTGTCGGCCGATAGTATGATTTCCTGAATGTTATAATATCTCGAACAGAGCATGGGTTTAAGACATCTGTATACCGCAAACCAACATTCACCGGACAGTTCCTCAATTTCAACTCCCACCATCCATACAGCGTAAAGAAAGGGATCTTCCGCTGCTTACAACACCCAGCAAAAGTGGCAACCCAGAGACATTAGGTAAAGAATTGGTCAGTATAAGCAGTTCCCTACAATGTAACAACTACCCCGGGTACATGGCAGCAGCCCCAATAAACTGGGATAGGTGGGTACAAGAGGAGGACAACAACACTCAGAAAACAGTCTGCCTGCCTTATGTGAAGGGGTTATTGGAGAAAATACAAAGGATAACATCGGGACAACCTTCGAAAGCTGGACGACATTTTGCAGATACCTTTCCCGAGTAAGACCCTCTATAGAGGAGAACTAAAGACTGTGTGTACGCCATCCTGTGCAGCTGCGGAAAGAAATATAAAGGGGAGAGAGGCTGCCCCTTAAGGTAAGGCTTCAAGAACACCAAAAAGCTTTAACACGAGGGGATGTAGAAAAATCAGGCATGGCTGACCACATATGGAGAGAAAAGGGAGATCATTACCCTCTGTGGGATCAGGTTGAAATCATAGACAAAGAACATTATTGGCAAATTCGTAAACTTAAGGAATCAGCACATATGCTAGGCCACAAAAATCTCCTGAGTCAATGAAAATTGAAATATGAGCTCTGGTAAAAAATATGCAATAATAACAGCAAAAATTGCAATATGAGCACTGGTAAAAAATGATTGCTGAAGTCATTAAGTTTATAAGTCCCAGAAATTTATACACAGATGTCTTTAAGGATAAGGACATTTATAATTGGATAAAGGCATTGGTTAGATCTAGTGAAAGGACCCAAAGAATTCAGTTCAGTACCTGGTTAAGGCAGTGGAGAACTTGGAGAGATGAATTAACAAGAGATAGCTGATATCCATTAGACATGGCACGTGAAGCTAGAACAGTCTACCCCAGCGAGTGAAATAAAGGGTTCAGTTTCACATTCCAACCACCTAAAGGATGCGCATACAATGGCCAAAATGTTGTGATAAATATGGCAACAAATGTAATAATGTAATATAATGTAAATAGTGTACATTATTATATATACTATTTACCTCATCTCAGAAATATAGACAGATACCAAAAGAAATCTTGAAGTTAAAAATGTAGCAAATCGTCTAGACATAAATTTGATAGCTCTTCCATTTCAAATGTGGCTAAGAAATCCTAACAGAGCTGATGACATTGAAGTCAAAAAGCATATTTCTGAACAGAAACATTATGAGAACAGAATCTCACTCTCGAAATATCTTAATAAATAAATGTTTCCTATTAAATTATCAAAATGGTTTAGTTCTTTTTGATGCTATAAAGTGACTTGTTTCCATGTTTATTGAAAATAAGCAGAATAGGTTCCTAAAGGTTATCTGCCTTTATAGAAATGTGCGATGACATTATTGGCCCTATCCCTTTTGTATTAGGCATTTAAGAGTATTGCTATAAGCAGATCCTTTTTTATTTGAGAGAGAAAGATTAATGCATTTATTAAATCTATGCATCTAAAGGAAAAGTGTGTTCAGTTTAGAAAATTCAAGGAGACAACTGATTAGGAAATTAAAATATTTTATCAAGAAGGGTCATGTACAAGATGATGTCAGAAAAACTCAAACAAGAGACTTCCTGATTAATGATTGGTATTATTTTTTGCCCACAGTGTCAGAAGATATTTAGCAAAAAATGGTGATGTAATATTTTCTACAGAAAGATACTGAGGATAGCATGGACCAGACATGTAAGCAGTTAAGTTTTGAAGAAAATAGAAACAAAAATGAAACTTATATTTAACATCAGGAAGAGACAGTTGAGGTTTCTGGGGCATGTAATGAGGAAGGAGGGCTTGGAAAACCTGATACTCCTGGGACAGATTGAGAGACAGCGGAAAGCTGTGCATAACATACTTGATGAGCTGGAGCAAATGGATGGCAGAACAGGCTTTAGTAGAAATAACAAACAGACAACTTATTAAGAGCTACAAGGGACAGGAAGATGTGGAGGTCCATGATTGCCTATGACCTGAAGGGACATAGCACATAAAAGAAGAGTGATATTATTATTATGTCATTTAATATGGATGAAGCTGGTACTGGAAACTTATAATTTCTACCAGAAAACATAATATATGATAAGCATGGTCCAACACTGATGATGGTAATGAGAGACACCTAGACTAATGGAATTATACCATAAAAATGCTTTCTTGTGACTGGATTCCTTTAGCTCTATGGACATTTCAACCAGCTTCATCTAAAGACTTCTTCATATCAAAAATAAACACAGTGTGGATAGAGAGGCTAACTGGCAGAAAGGGACCAAACTGTACTGCGGTGGGGCATAGTCATATTAATAATAATTTATATGTATACAACCAAAATGCTTAAAAATTTTGCATCAACCTAATAAATCATATTTATAGAATTGTTGCAGCTTCTTTTGATATAAGTAATATTAGTTACATCTTTTTGCTGGAATTTTCAGTATAGTAAAAATCAAATTTGACACAAATCCAAATTTAATGCAATAGGTCAACAATCAAATTATAATTGGGATCATGCTTATACATACATATATATATATATATATATATATATATATATATATATATATATATATATATATATATGAAGAAATATAGTCTTAAGGTGTGCTATATTTATGGGATAAAGTGCTCAATATCAGAGATAGTGTGTGTAAATATAAAAGTAAAAGTCAACACTTAGAGGCGACAGTCTGTTTCATGCTATATGCAATCATCAGGCTACCGTGGCCTGACGATTGCATATATATATATATATATATATATATATAGCATGAAGCATATAAATGATTGCATATACATATACAGCATGAAATAGATTGTTGCTTCTAAGTGTTGACTTCTATGTTTACTTAAGTGCTAACAAAAGTTTGGAGAATTTGAACACTGGCTTCATTGTGTGTATATATATATATATATATATATATATATATATATATATATATATTAGTCTTTTCACCCCAAGCAAGACAAAAATGTGACTAGAATGCAGGTGTTTACAGTGAATGAAAAATAATGACCAAACTTTAGTGAGGAAAAGACAAAGGAACAGGATTAAGTTAGACTGAAGATGGTGATTGACAGGGTTTCTAAATTTTTGAAGATTGTAGTTGGCAGGGAAGCAAGAAATTGGAAGGGGATCCCACAGATAAGAAAAAAAAATATTAGAATAGGAGTGGTGATTACATCTAGTTACTTCAATATTTGCCAGTCTAGTAGCTCGCTTAAATTCACATAGTCAAGGCTCTAGGGAAAAGAACTCCTGATAACAGGTGCTTTGAAAATATTTTTAGAAAAGACAAAGAGAAGACATGTCACATTGGTTAGAAAGTGACTGAAGTTGAGATCTCAGGATCAACCACATCACAGGCCCTTTTTGGAATTTTGTCAAGAATCTTGAAATATAGAGCAGGAGCACCAGACCAGATATGGCTGCAATATTCATTGCACAGAAAAATGATTAATTTATAAACATGCATGATGGATTCTGATAAGAAAGATTATCTGTCACAACACAGTGAATCAACTTTCCTAACAGGAGACTTAGTAATTAATTCAATATCGTTCTTCCACAAGAAGGCATATTTAAAACAAAAATTTCACAAACCTGTTTTTTTTTTTTTTCTTTTTTTAGTGATGACTTGTATGGACCATAATTTTTATATTATGACTTAGGTATAATATATTTTGAAGTAATAGAAGTATGATTAGTGATATTTGTTTTTTTTTTAGTTATAATCAGATATTATAGCATAAAAATATACTTTTGTGAGAAAAGAATATTTTTAAATCTTATACGTAAAGTACAGTGTGTGTTTGTGCTTGTGTGTGTGTCCAAGAAACTCCTCCACTCCCACTAGTCCAATTTCAATGTTTCATAGCTCATTCAAAAGCCCTAGAAAAGTTAGGTACAGGGAACAATTTTTGTTGAGCTCAGATTCAGGGTTGCCAGATTTTGCAAGGTTAAAAAAATATATTTATATATTATACCAGCCATTATTATTGCTTTCCTAGTTTAAGGGGAGTAACTCTCATTTTCTCTTTGTATCCAACATTGCAGTACATGTTTTATTATAAACTAGCTTAAAACCCACCCTGTTGGGTGGCATTTAAGCTAGCTCCTGTGGAGGATTCTTGGTTTGGCAATCATCACAATAGCTAGGGAGGAGTAAAGGCAATAGGCATCAATAGACTACAGAAGAACTCAAAACTGATCACTGCATTTAATTATTGCATTAATATTTAAGCTTACCTTTTAAAAGTTCAATGATAATTCTGCTGCCACTTAATTTAAAGACAATTTGATGTACGTAGATCCCAAACAATTATTTTTATTTCATGGGTGACAGAACAGGGGACAATTTATAAGATAAAATATGTTGTAAAGATGGGAAAATAGAAATTAGAATTAGTTATACATTTGACATTTGAACAGTTAGAGAAACCTAATAGCTAATTAAGTAAAATCTATATTATGGAATTTATATGAATAAATGCAAAATTGGAGCATGATTATTCATTGAATTCTTAGGTTAAGAATCCCCAAATCTACTTTATAGTAATTTGGTATTTACTTGACCCACCTCACGAAGTTGCACTGTGACACAAGGTTGGTTTAATTTGGAGAACCCAAGCGCGTATACCTGGGCTAGGAACAAAAATAACCCCAAACTCCTGCAACTGTTGGTTGCGCTGGCCTTGGTGTGAACACCAATCCCTTTCTCTAGTGCAATGAGAGGGTGCAGCCTTGGGCAGCTGTTCCCCAGGGCTGGGCACCTCTTAGTATAATTTTTCTCAGTTGTGACTGTCCTTTGACAGAGCCACCCCTGAATGCACTCTACCCAAAGACAGACGCAACCGAGACATGATGAATAAATGTATGAAACTATTTTAAAGTAATTTATATGCAGTGTTTACTCATTCCCCCACGAGAATGAGATGTGACACAAGGTCGGATTAATGTGGGGACCCGAGTGCGTGCACTCGGGCAGGGTCAAAAATTCTCCTCAGCCCCCGCAACCGTCAGTTGCGTTAGCCTCGGTGTGAGCACCAATCCCTCCCTCTGGTGCAATGGGAGGGCGCAGTCTCGGGCAGCTGTTCCCCAGAGCTGGGCACCTCTTCAGTATACTTTTCCTCAGTTGCCCCTCTGTCCTTTGACAGAGAAGCCCCTGAGCGCACTCTGTCCAAAGACAGAGACGCAACTGAGAGATGATAAATAATGCAAAATCCCTCCAAGGAGGGATTTACGCGCTAAAAGTAATTTATATGCTAAACGCTCAATATCTGCATTATATATTATCTACTCCCAGGTGATATCATTCTTCAGGTTTAACTAATTTGCATATTGATTTTAAAAAAGTATATTTCATTAGTGTTCTTTTATTCAAGGATTGTTTAGATTTTCCTATAAAAAATAGTCCTGTTTAGGACTATGCAGAAAATTGTTTGAAATTTGCATTTTACTTGGCCTTCAACAAGTTGGCATCTATTTGTAAAACTTTCCTTAACTATAACAAGCCAATTTATGAATGAAATGTACATTTAAAATTTTTGTTTCAAATATTTCAAGTAGTGAATGTATCTTACTTTGTGAAGCAATAGCATGTGGGCAAAGCCTGTTAGTTTATTTATAAAACTAAAATCATTTTCAAATTTCAGGTTTCATGCTTTGCAAATGTGTGGTTGGGGCAACTTGCAGGATCCAAATGGTTTAAATAAATTACTAGAAAAGTAAGTTATTTTGTCTTTACACTCCTATGTTCTCTTTGCATGGTCAATTTTGCACCTGTCCCTCAAATAAGATAAATAGAAATATTGTTTAAAATCAATCATCCTTATACATAGTTTTTTTTCTATCTCTTCTAAATCCTGTTTTTCTGTGATATATTTGCAATCTCTATATTACAAATATAACACAAAAATATTTGCCATCTCTAAATTGCAAATATGACACATTTCATTTTATGTCTCTTATATGTAAACGTCATGTAATCTTTATTTTACTCTTTATATACAAACATCTTTTCTATATTTTGTACTGTTATTATTTAGAAATATCTGGCAATCTTAAAGTATGGTGTCAGATTTTACTATGTTGTCATTGGCTTTTATGTTGTATCCAAGAATTTAATTTCTTTGCTGATTGTTTCCTTTATGATGATGGTGTTAATGATTAAGTAGACCAATTCTTGCATTGAAGAGCCAATGGCATTGACTTCATAATAATGTTGGTGGAGGATAAGGTTGATTTTGTTGAGTCTTTCTCTCTTGTTTGAAGTTTTTGTTTCTGATGGTGATTGAACACTACTAGTTGGTACAGTTCTTGGCTTGTGTTTCAAACAATTTAGGCTCAAGTCCTGTGGCTTTCAGTATTGTTTTGAGTTGGTTCTTGTATCTTTGAAGAGGGTAATCACATGGCCATTTCCCTGAAGTGAGCTCACTGAATAAGACTTGATGTGGAAACACCATTCTTCCATCCTTGCTACATGTTCTATCAAAGATGGTATTTAATGATCAGTGATTTGATGCTTTGATTGTTGGCTCTTCCCAGGACTTTGGCATTAGTCACATACTATTTCCATTTGATGTTCAAGATTGAACAAATCTTTTTGTTGGGAGTTTTTATTATGTAAAGTAATGTTTTCATAATAAAATTGGTATTAACTCATGAATATTGATAAAATTTTCAGGATATATATAAGAGCAATATATCATATAAATTTCAGCTTATGATATCTGTAAATAAAGTAAATATTGATAATAACTTATTTTGTGACTTAATAGCTTTTATTATGCAGAGTGCAACATCATTTTTTATTTATAAATAAACCTAAATAAATAAACATTATAGAAATATATGTATAATGAAGAAAATAGAGATGCAGGTTTGAACCCTACCAAGGGCACATTCTCTTTATTAAAACCTCTTGAAATGGTAATATTAGCCATTTCCCTACAAGGAAACATTTAGCATTCATTGACTGAGCAGCCAGTACTGTTGTTTAGTTGAAATTTATAAAATCTTTCTTTTAAAACAATCTTCTAAGAAAACAGGTTTCTTAAGTCCAGTAGCTTTTATCACTCTTTCTAGTATTGATGAGGTTTTCCTTCCAAATATTCTATTTGAAGCAGTTTTTTTCTCTTAGAGTTAGATGTGTTATCCATTTTGGTTGTTGTTGTTGTTGTTGGTAATCCTCAAGTTATGTGGTTTTTGTTATTTGGTACAGTTCTTTGTGATTCTGTAGCACCAGTCCACAATGTTCAAAATAGAATGATTTTTGTCAAGACCCTCAGGCTCAAAGCCTTTTTTATCACCATTGACCTTAGCAAAGCAAGTGTATACAGCTGACAGTTTAAATATTTCTGAACAGGTTTGGCACCATGCATGGCACCCATATGAAAGTCTTTATGTGAAAAGGCTATTTAAGAACATGACTTGAGTTTTCAGGTTGATGTTTTGGTTTTGTAACAATTTGCGGTGTTGGGCAAAACTACCTCTGGCACAGCCGATTTGATGCTCAATTTCGTTTTTTCCTATTCTTAATTTGTTATAGCTGATCCATATGCCAAAATATCCAAAGTGTTTAGTATTTGCTAATTCCACATTCTGTATTTTTATGAAGGATTCATGGTAGGTGCCATCACTGCTTTCATTCCAATTCCAGATCGTAGTTTCTGTTTTGGAAAGGTTTATTTTGAGTCCCATTTCTTGGAATACTTGATAGAGGATGCTGATTTTCTGTTCAAGATCATTCTAATTCCAACAATGAACACCTATGTCATCATCATTACCCCCACCCCATCATCAGTCCATTGGCTTTGGGAGGGAAAGCAGGATCATTGTCTTCTATTGGTATATTTGTTTGTGTTGCAGTATGGAATATTTAAATGCTTAGTGCCGATCTCATCACATCTGTGTCTGTAAATGCACAGCACATAGTCTAGGAAGAGATTAAATAAACTAGGGCTCTCATTTCCATCTTGTCGTACTTCTGATGAAGTCTGAAGTGTTTCCATACTGAGATCCTTGCCAGGCAGGATGTAAGATTCTGTAGAAAAACCTAGTCCAATAGAAGTCAGTTATTCTGTTTTTTTTTTTTGTTTTTTTTTTAAAAGATGTCTACTTGAACATATGCAACCAATAAATATAATATTTTAGTAATGAGATATATGATTTGTATGTTGCTTTTCTTATGTATATAAGACTGCTTTATTTTAAATACTTTCAAAAGAACTTTTTAATGTACATGAAACTTTATTTACCCATTAACAGCTAGTTTCATGCTGTTTAATTTTCCAAATATATAATTGTTTCTTTTAAACATTTCTGAGATCTATAGCATGCAAAATAAATTCTCATTTTGAAAATGACACAGCAAAAAACAGGTTCTTTTATTACTTGAGGCTTGGTAAATAATCTGAAAAGTATTATATGGTATATATAGGCAATAAATGGTCATTAAAACAGGTACTGTTAATGACAGCAGAGAAATTATGTTTAATAAGTTTTTCATGGTAGATTAGTTTTATGTATCCTGGTGTTGACAGCATAACAGTTTATACTAATTTTTTATTTTATATTTAAAGAATCTGAGCTTTTGACTGGCTTCAGTCATTATCAAGAAGGAAAGAAATTTGAAGACTGTGGTAGTTTACATCTGTGGTATGATTTTGAGTTGATTGTTTGTGACTTCTTTTTTTCAGTTTTGAAATTCTGCTGCTATATCTATACTGATATAGTGTAGATTCTGGGAATTTAAATAAATTTAGAATCATAAGTGATTTTGTTACTTGTTGTTTGTTTTGACTTAATATAGAGAGATTGTAAAATTTGTAATCTTTACAGTTTTATTTTTATAGTGTTTTTCACAAGGAGTTGTCTCTACTATTCTATTTTTTTATATTTCTCCATGTGTTGTCATATAGGTCAGAATCTTAATGAGAACACAAATTGTGGATAGTTCCTTTACTGTTTCAACACCATAATAAACTCATTAAAAATAACGTGCCTGTTTAAGTATATAATTTGCACACCTATCTTGGTGTGTGTTTATTTAGATAGTACTTTTTAATTGATACATGTTTCATTAAAGTATCTGTCTATATTTCTGAGATGAGGTATTATGTACTGATGTTGAACTGAACCCTTTATCCACTATGTCATGTGTCCTTAAGATAAAAGCGTTGGTTAGATTCAGTGACAGGACCCAAAGAGGTGTGAGTTCAATACCTAGTTAAGGCAATGGAGAACTTGGAGAAAGGAATTAACAGGAGATAACTGATAATTGACATCCATTAGATATGGCACATGGAACTAGAACAGTTTACCCCAGTGAGCGAAATAAAGGGTTTCGTTCGACATTCCAACTACCTGAAGATGGTCGTAGTGTACAATGGTCGAAATGTAAATAAATATGACAACAAAGATGATAATAGTCTGAATAATGTAAATAATGCTTCATTAAAAATGAAACTTTTTTTTTTTTTTTTTTTTTTGCTAAATTTTTATTGTTTACATGTTTTTATTGAGTCCAACGTATGTATGTAGATATGTTCCAAGTGTTAGTGATCAAGTATTTTCAACTGTACTCATGGCCATTTTCAAGGGGTCTGGGGTTATGTAGATGTGTTGTCTTTCACATATTTAAATACTTTTAAAACTTGAATCTGTGGAATATGAAACACTTCAAATACCTTGGTGTATGGATCAGTTATAACAAATTTAGTATAGGAGATAAGAAAATCGAGCATAGAATGGGCTGTGCAAGGAGTGGTTTCACCATGTAGCATTTCAAGATGCAAACTGCTACAAAATCAAAACATTAACCAAAAAACTAGTGTTATGTTCTTAAATAGATTGAGACTTTTATATGGATGTCATTCCTGGTGCTAAACTCATTTAGAAAAATCTCAACTGCCATTTGTATTCTCAGCTCAATGGTTAAAAATGGCTTTGTGTGAATGAAGACTGTAGGTATTAGTGAGGACCATCCTTCTTCAAACCTGTGAACTGGTACTACAAAATAGTAAACAAGTGTATTAATAGAAACAATTATTTGAGGACTTTCAACAACAGCAGCAACAATTAAAATGGTTCATGTGTAACTTGAGGAAAAAATGACATAATCAAGTTGACATTCCACACTACTTGTAACAAAAGGTTAGGAAGGAAACCACCTATCCATACTGGAAAAAGCAGTAGCAGTTATTGGACTTGAGAAACCAATTTCTTTCTGAAAATGTTTTTAAAAGATTTTATAAATTTCAACCAAAAGTCAAACTAGTTGTTTGTTCAGTGAATGACAAATGATTCCTTGTATGGAAATGGCTGACATTACCATTTTAATGACACTACACATACACTGAAATATAAGTGTGTCTTTATTTTGTTAGTTGTTAGTATTCTTTGAGCTGTTACTTGTTTAGAAATATTTATTTTTGCTATTTCTGTCTAATTTTCAGACCCACTCATTCCTAAATCAGTTGTCATGACCCAAATGAAAGTTATTAGGATGATCCTGAGGATTTGAAGATAGTTTACAAAAAAAAAGAATGAAAATTAAATAATATTAAAAGTTAAAAATAATGTAATATGTGTTCATAATTATTATACTCAGGAATGATCACCCACATCCTGAAGAGACACTGCACATAGAAGAACAGAAATAATTGTGAATAATAAAGCATCATTAAATGTATGAAAACTCTTAGTATATTCCAGTCTGTTTGTGGTCAATACCTTTTTATCTTGAAGTGGCTGGAGCTACAATCACAGTATCATTCTTTACACCCGTTACTGCTGTTTTGAACAACTTATTCACAGTGATGGAAATGACCATCCATTTGACTGCTAATTCTTGTTTGAAAGCAAACATAAAAGAGCTCTCTGTTCAGGGCCACAAGCAAAAAATTGTTGAAAACAGACCCATGTTGTGAACCTAATCTCTTATGAATTTAATTACATGTATGATCTCCATCTTTTATCCCTAGGAAAGCCACTTAATATTATACTTAATGCATTTCATTTTCTTAATTATTATTATTTTTTAAGGAAATATATAGCGGGAAAACCTATATTCAAAAATATTTCTGCACAATAAGAGATATACTCTTGGTTAATATTTTTTTGAATGAAAATAGTCTACATATAAAATATTTCCAGACTAGAATACTTATCTTTCTTTGTATTATTTAGCATAGAAATTTTTTATGCTCAAAGATAATCTGCTAACTTAGAAAATTCTGTGAAATGCTTGCAGTGTTACTACAAAGCTGATTAAAATAAGAGCAAAAACAGCAACAAGTTGTGGAAGTTAAAAGATGCATCAAAACAACACTTTTTGTATCCTGTACATTTAAGTTGTTCTCTCAAGGAAGCTCCTTACCTTGAATGCTTTTTGGGACTCAAACTCACCTCAGACCTCATGTGGAACTCCTATATGCTATCCATTGCTAAAATTGCTTGAAAAATAGATAGTTGCCTGTACCACTCCAGTAATTATCAGACTCCTCCTTCTATGCTCTGTCTTTACAAGAACCAAATCAGACTGAAAATGGAATATTCTTATCATACGTAGGATGGCGCTTCCATGTCCTCACTTGTTAGTCTTTATCAAGTTCAAAAGTGTCTATGTGGCTTTGTGAGTAATGAAGTATTTTCCACCCTACAACTCATTTCAAATGTTGCAAGCCTCTCAGCTATTTACTTGGCAAATGTACTGACAAGCTATGTTCCTTTGTTCCACCAGATCTGACCTTCGCAACTAAGACCTGCCATGCTACATACACTGGAACAAATCATCCTTATTCCTTTTGCATGCCATTAGTAGGAAGAAAGTTCCAGTTTCTGCCCAAGAACTACTTTGTGGAACAGATTACCAAGAGGATGTTTTCCCTGATCACTACAATCTTAACCTCTTCAAGTTTAGGTTTAACTATTATCTCTCTTACATAACCTCATAAAATTAATTTCTTACCTCCTTCTTTTATGATACTGGAATCCCTGGAAATAGCAGGGCTGATAAGGCAGCCAAGGAATCACTCTCAATGAATATATCAAATTAAAAAATTCACTTTACAGACTTGAAAGCCACAATTAACTCTTACATCCTGAATCAATGTTTAAAATCATAGAATACACATGTAAACAACAAGCTATATTAAATAAAGCCCATTCTGACTGTACACCATCACAGTACCAGACACTCAAGAAAAGATAATGCCACACTTACAAGAATCAAAATTGGACACATCCACATAACCCACTCCTTCCTTCCCAAAATTGAAGACCCTCCAAAATGCCCAAATTGCCAATGAAGTACTCATTGTCAAACATTTTTTAATTAACTACAAAAAACTGGTACCTATGTGAAAATACTTCTACAATGTACCCAACCTTAGAGCCTTCTTTGAGTGAAGTTGAACACAAAGTCATTCTAGAATTCTTAGAAGTAACAAAACTCTACCCTAAAATATAAAAAGGAAACTGTATAAACACCCAGCTACAAAATGTAACTAAAACTGAATTACATCCCCACCCTTATATAATAACAACTTATAAAAGAATTTGTCTGCAAAATAGATACAAGATGAAAACAATTCTTAAAACTAGTCAGCATGAAATTAATCTAAATTTTTTTTTATGCTCATACAACATCATTCAGTAATCTTGAGTGGCTCTTGGGTGAACATTAATAAAAAAGAAAAAATAAGTCATTTCTATATAGAAAGTCCTCTGTTGAAATTGTATGAAAGTTCAAGTTTGATTGAAAGTTATTTATTTGTTTTCTGCAATTGTTTACAGAATTGTGTTTGTGTGGATATATAAGAACTATCCATGTTTTATTTAATAACAAAACTTGTGTAGGAACTGTTTTAGTACTTTAAATGCCACCAGCTCATTTAATACACAATGTTTTTTTTTTCTTTTATACAGATTACAGAGTGAAGGGGAATATGAAAGGGCTGCAGCTATTGCCCTTTTTAATCTTCAGATTAAAAGGTCCTTGGCCATCTTGAATACGCCACGTAATGCAGATTCTATAGAAGGTATTGTAGATAAACAAGAGTTTTTTTAACTGGCCTTATTTTTTGGTGTTACATTGAAAAAGTACTTCCAATCACATTAACAGTATTGATTTCAGAGTTTATAGAAATTGAACGTGTGAAAATGGTGAATGTATAAAAACTGGCAGAATTTTCTAACAGTAGAAAGTATAAAATGTTTAAAATTCAAACATACATTTTTTTTATTTGTTAAAAAAAGTATCTTGTATTATGTAACAGTTTTCATCTCTCTGCGTTTTTTTTTTTTTTTTTTTTTTTTTTAACAATAATTTGTTCATTTATCAAACTATGTAGCCTTTTAGTTGGTATCCTTCAAGGTCATCCTCTTTGCAGGGCCCGGTGTTAGTTTTTAGTTGAATAGATATTATTTACATAGATACCACATACAAGCTATATCTATCTCTAATAACAATGGAAACTGTTAATAGGACAAACTCATATCATCGTACATAGGAGTGGTTGATAAAAATCTAATAAATTTTCCATTAACGTCTTATTTAATAACTGAACCTCAACGTACTCTAGTATATCTAACATATTGGGTGGCCACTAAAAAGTTAATTTAGTTTATTAAATAAAAATCAATGGCACTTTTTTTTTTTTTCTTTTTTTTTTAATAAATATTTAGCATTAAGGAGGATGTATGGAAAGCACAAGAACAAATGAAACAACAAAATAAGGAAAATAGATAAGATATATTAAAATAAAATCAGCATTATTAAGGTGGAATGTCTCTTTGTGAGCAAGGGAAGAGACCTGGACAATGGGGAAGTCAATAGAACCTGATATTGAAATTTGCCTATCCATGCTATTCATTGGCCAAAACCCGGGACTTCTTAATTATATCCTCCAAGAAATTTTTATCTTTCTTGGTAAAGAACTGCTTTAGCTACCTTTTTTCAGTCTTTCATGGAACTGAATATTTCTTTTTTTCATTAAGCATATTCGATAAAAGCAGAATAAATGTCAATCCAAAGGTGGAATCTCTGATGAATACTGCAAATGAAGGCAAACTTCCCATTGAAACTATAACAATGTTTGCTTGGTTATCAAAGAAACATTCAATCTAGCTTTCTCTTGGTAATTCATTTTGATTATCTCATGATCTTTCCCATTCTCTATTGTAAACTGTCTAAATTTTTATTGCTCAACATAATTTATGTAAAAATCAAAAGTAGTGAATGATTTTCATTGCATAATTTGGATATTTTGTGTTTGTTGATGATCTCTTGCATAATATAATGCTAATTATTCTCAAGTAATGTCTTTATTTAATTACTGTCAACCTCAAGTAGTTTAGTTGAACATGAAACATTGTTCAGTGAGAAATCCTCAACACAAAAATTTGCAAACCCCTTGACATAGTTGATCACTGACAATACCTTCTCCAAAAACTACACAAATTATTTTTACATTTGGCTGGCAATGTTAGTTAATAAACTAAAAAAGACCAATTTTTATAAATATATTTAGAACAAGGCATGTCATAATATAATTATTTTTTAAAATAGCAAATAATTACTCATAATGCTATCTAATAACAAAAACAGAACTGTTTAAGACTCTTCTGTACCAACTGAAATAAACAGTTGTTTTTAAGTTTTAAAAATTTGTCTTTTCATTTCCTGCTTTGGTTCTAAATATGAAACAACACTGTCTGTATTTGCAATAGCACTTTACTAACCATATGGGAATATAGCTTTGTCATTTTGTAATTTTATTAATTCATGTATGGACCATTTTTTTTTTTTTTTTTTTTTTTTTTAAATATTTAATCTTGATATCTAGCCGCAGTTTTTTCTTAAAAATTAAAGAATTTTGGAATTTTATTTTTTTTTCTATTATGCACAGAGCTTCAGAAAGCTAAATGCATATAATTGGAAAAACTGTGGTGATGTTAACTTTCTTTGTATATGAGATGTTATCTGGAAGTTTCTGGTCTTTGTGTTCTGATTGAACTATTCAATAGAAATGCACACACAGCTAATGCTCATTTGTACCCAGCTTATTGAATCAGTCTGCCAGATGGTTTTGTATTTAATTATTGTGTTCAATTATTATGCAAGTTTTCATATTGGTTGGTAATTTTTCTAAAATTTTTATAATGTCTGAAAAATTCAAGGAACACATTTGCATCAAATTTTGCATGAAACTTGGTAAATTTGCTGCTAGAACTCTTGAAATCTTCTGACAGGCCAATATTTCCTAGTTTGAATTGGTGTTTTTTTTAAAGAAGCATATTTGTTTCAAAACTGGTTGAGTATTGTTTCAATATTATGGGCACTAAAGGCAACCAGTCACCTGTAAAGCACTTGAAAATAAGGAAAAACATTTATGAACATATCCACAAGGGCCATTGCTAAAGAATCCATCAGTTCTCACTCACAAGACTGGAATCAATTATAGAGTCTGCCAGGAGACCCTAATGGAAAACCTGAGCATACATTATATTGCTGCAGAGTGTTTTGGGTCTTGACACTCAGTGAGGCATGGAAGGTGTGCTTGGATCTGTGTAAGTTCTCAAGGAAATGGTGAACAAATTTAAATAGGCTGGGAAATTTCTATCAGTTTGTATAAACACATATTCAATTCTCATCATATATACATTTCAGAGTAATATATATTTTTTTGCTACAGTTATTTTCATTTCTGAACAAATACACAGCATTAAAAATATTAGTGATTCTGTTCATGTTGGAATGCTGTGAGTCAACTACATTGATTTGTTACAGCTTTTTGAAATATTTTTGTGCAAAGATACTGTTAATGTTATACTGGTTATATTTTGTTTGAATAGACGCATAATCAAATCATGTGAAAGGATTTTATTTCATCTCATTGTAATATATCAATGCTCAAACATTCCCAAGTCATAACAAAAAAAAAAATGGAAAAATGTTTTTCCTAAAGTAGTCTGAAGACCCTGTCATGATTTATTGTTGGTGGGCATAATATTAACAAAATAGGACATACAGATGGCACTGTGTTGTTTGCTGACACAGGAAGAAAACTACAGGACCTAGACAAGGTAGTAAAGGAAAATGAGAAAAATGACTACTTATCAACTGCAATGTTGTAAACTACAACAAGGGTGTATTGAGGTTGGGGGGGGATACCTAACTGATAACTCTACCAAATGTTATGTAGGTAATAGGCAGAGAATGGAAAGAGACAGGAGGTAACAAAATGACACTTCCTTAGAAGGCACAGCAACTTTAGGAAGAAAATGACTATGGCACCAACTTCATAAAACACCTAGTCTTAACCACTGCTGACTGCTGGTCTTCCTATCATTTTTATTGAGAGACAGCAGACAGAAACCCAGATCTAGACAAGTTGCAGAGAGGCACATATCTGAACATGTCAAGCTGTTTCATTGCTAATGGTGAAAACCTGGATGTAACTGGTTTTGACAGACATGTCCACATGTGATCTGGGGCCTCTTTTGTGTTTGTATGAATGCACTTTTGCCAAAGAAGACAAAAAAATATGGTTATCAACAATAGAAAAAGCCCAAGATGTGAACTATGAATTGAAGATGTCAACACCAAACAAGTACAGAAGTTTAAATATCTGGAAAGTGTTTTACATAGGATGGAAAATGACACCCCAAAATCCGAATGTACTTTGGATTCCAAAAGCTAAACAAAGTACTAAGAAACAGAAAAATTTCATTAGAAACAAAGAAAAGAGTGCTGAATCACTATATGATACCAATCTTGTATAACAGTGAATTCTGGACATTCAGATGAAGAGAAAACTGGAGGCAACAAAAATGTGGTTCTACAGAAAGATATTGAGAATTCCATGGATGGAATGAGTATGCAACAACAAGGAATTCTTAATGGTAGCAAAAACAACACTTGTACTCAGAATCAGAAAGAGACAGCTGAAATTTCTTGGACACATAATGAAGTTGGGCTTGGGAAACTTAATGCTTACAGGGCATATTGAGGGCAAGAGTGAAAGGTGAAGGTAGTGAACCAGCTACCTGATGAGTTTGTGTGATTGGATCTTGAAGGGGATAGGAGGCTTAGCAAATGAAGAAACACTACTAAGGTCCAGGGATAGGAAGTTGTGAGGAGCCATGGATCTTACACTCTGAAGAGACACAGCACATAGAATTAGTTACTAAGATGGCGGAATGCATGCATTTTCTATACTTTTTTTAAAGAGATTTTTTTTTTGACATTTATATACATTCTTTGTTAAAATCTCATAACTCATTTTTGAAAGTTAATTTTAGAAATGTATAGATGTAAGGAAATGGCCACTGTTAAAAATCATTAGGACTTTTATTCAACTAAACTGTATGTAGGTTTAGGATAAAAACAGTACAGCTTATATTTTAAGTATGACCTGAAAAACTCCTATATGTAAATAGTGACTCATAAGCATTTACATAGTGCTCTCAAATTTGGTAGGATAGTGAGGTCACTCATAGTTAAAGATTTCCCTATTCTTAATTATTTTTTACAGGTGTGCCTTGCATCATTCAGAAATCTTAATGATATATTAAAATCTGGTTACTTGCTTTCAATTCTCTTGTGGTTTCTCTTATTGTTGTGTTGGTGGTATCATCACTGTTTGGAGAAGTAACTGGTTTTGCCTTACCCATTTTTAAAATCCTAAATGGACAGGTGAAGGCGGTGTGTATTTTGAGAGATGTCTATTAGATATGGTGTTAATTCTCCCTCAGTATGATAACACAATTTCTTTTAGAAGCATCTTTTCTCTCCTAAAGTTTATGGAATTTCTTCAAATCAGTGGCAATTCTAAGTGAGATAAAGTACAATGCCATAACTGCAGCTTTGTGCTTCTTTCCAGTCAATAGGAAATCTGGTGAAAATATGCCAATTCCAAACATAGTAAGTTTAGATATTGTTTTCTTTTAGCTGCAGACAGTGATTGTAAGTGAAAAGATAATGGACATTCATCCTGAGACAGGTTTCCGCCCAGTGCTATTTAAGGATTGTCAGTCTCAATTGAGATTAGATTTATGCAAGGTAGCAGATGATACTAAATGTTCTTTGGTGTGATATTGTGACTCATGCTCTTTGAAGTAGTTTTATTAAAAGTATAATGAAAATATTAAATAAAAATCAATGACGCTTTATTTAACCAAACTGTACATAGATATTAGAAGGAAAATAGAACAGTTCAGTTCACACTCTGAAGTAGTGATTCATAAGTATTTATATAATGCCTACAATTCTGACATCCAGTAGGGGGAGGTAACTCATAACCAAAGATTGGGATGCAATGCTTTCCAGTGTCATTATTAGTAACTGGTTATCATCTTAGTAATGGCAAAGAGTTGATTATTGGAGAAAAAATAAACAGAAAATATTAAAAATACTCTTAATATTATTGAAATGCAGTTGTAAATTAGTATTGTTTCTTTTATATTTCTTCAGATTCGGAAACAAACAGTAGTTTGGGTTTGGTTGGAATGGCACTTGCAGGTTTTACTGAAAACAAAGATGCTCTTTGGCAGAAAATGTGCAGCAGTTTTCGACAGCAGTTGACCAACCCTTATTTACGGGCAATGTTCTTCTTCTTGTCCTCCCCACAGAATGACAATTACATGGATGTCTTGGTGAGTTCTAAAAGTCCTATTAATGAGCTGACTTGCCACTACTAAAATTCATTCTTACAGATTACTATTTTTAAATAAAAATCTTATTGGTAAAGAATTATTTCTATGTTATAAAGATTTTAAAGCATTGATGCAGAAACAAATATATTACTTCCTTTTCATGGGGTGTATTGCTACTAACTGATTTTTTTATTAATCTAAAAAAATAGTTCAACTGCTTCATATAAATTTTTATTAGTTGTCTGTTGCTCAGTATAAATTTATAATCTTCTGAAAAGTCCTGTATATATATATATATATATATATATATATGTATATAAATTAATTTTGTTGATTTAAAACTGTCATATTATTTATACTTTTCTTTTTCTTTTCTAGAATGAGAAAGGAATGGCAGTCCGTGATCGTGTTGCATTTGCATGTACCTTTCTGCCAGACAACAAAGTAAGTAACATAAGTTTTGAGATAAGTTTTTTTCCAACTTATTTTTTTTGTATACAATGTCAAATTTTCTCTGCTTTTATTAAAAACATTGCAATAACATATTTGGTGCTGTGAGATTTTTATTATGCAACTTAAGTGTTGTTTATCATCTTGAAAATAAATATTTATAATAATAGTAATTGTTGATATTTATTTTTTGATTTAAGATATATAAAGATTGCGGTGGATTGTAAGAAAGATAAACTCTCAAGACAGAAGATATTGCAAAGTTATCGAGTGATAAGAACACAATATTTGAATTTATGAAAACGTTTAAAAATATCACAACCATTAAAAAAGAAATTGAAAATGTTGGCAAAATAAGAACAAATATCTTTAAGAATATCATAAAAATAGATTTGGGATAAATTAAAGGCATAATAAGAATAGTAGATTGATTAGTAATAAAATATTTAAAGAAGTTAGTGTTGCAAATGTAAATCGATAGGTAATTGACTGAACAGCTGTATCAGATTATGTTTCCAGACTGAAGACAGCTGAGTCATTAACATTTGCGGCTGTTTATCATCACATTGCTGAGACAGGATCTATGGCCCCACAAACTATGGATCAAGGAAGGTCAAGATCTGCTTCTATGCCTGACCACAAAGAACACATTCTACAGTTTGTTGGAGATGATCAAGGTATCAGCACATGTCAAGTGGCCCTAGCATGTCATACATCTTATATTACTGCATGGAGGGTATTTCAAGAGTAGCTCCTGTATCTGTATCATTTGCAATATGTGCAGGGTCTTTTGCCCTCTGATCACTCACCATAGGGGAACTTTTGCCAATGGTTTATTGTACAGACATCTGATCCCATTATTTGTCTCTTCAGTCTTGTTTATGGATGAGAAGAATTACAAATTTACACAACCAATTTGTGGGCAGATCAAAATCCCCATGGTACAATACAGGCTTGACATCAGCATCAGCTTACAGTTAATGGTGTGAGCTGGAATTGTAGGTGGCTGTCTGGTAGGACCACATGTTCTTCCAGCATGTCTTACAGGAGCTGTCTACAGGGACTTTATATCAAACACACCTCCAGACCTGCTAGAGTATGCATCCCTGCAAATATGAAGATGCATGTGGTTCATGCATGATGGGGCTTCAGCACATTTTAGTCACATTGTTCACGATGCACTGGCTGACGTCTACCATGAAAGATGGATAGGTAGGAGAGGAGCAGTTTCATGGCCAGCACATTCCACTGACCTGGATTATTTGGATTTTTATCTATGGGGCCACATAAAACAATTGGTTTATAAAGCAGACAATAATGTAGAGATGCTTCATCAATATGTCATAGGGGCCTTTTGACAGCATGTCAGAGTATTTGAAAGTGTCTGCCAGTCAATTATCCAACAGGTGCATGTGTGTGTAGAAGCAAACCGAGGATATTTTGAACATTTGTTATGAGTTGCTTTGTTAAGGTATAACAATGTCCTTTTGGACATATGTTATATAGACATTTTACCTTGTTTTGGTGTCAGGAACCTGCCCCCAAAGTTTGTAAAAGTATAAATAAACTTTAAACTTAATGACTCAAAAAGAAAGGATTTAAGGACATATGTTTATATGGACTTTTGTTCTTGTTTTGTTATGAGAAACCCATGCTAAAAGTTTGTAAAAGCATTTTTGATACACCCTGTATATATAAATATAAAATATTACACATTGAGTGCTGGTATTAATAAAATGCTGTTCGATGTAATATAACAGAGCTATTATGTATATATTATATACATATTATTCCTCACCAGTAGCATCATTTGGAGTTTCATGCACATGTTCTACTGGTGAGGAATATATATATATATATATATATATATATTAAAGACCAAGTTTTTAAGAATGTTTTTTCTACATTTTGGATCAATTTTTAATTTCAGATACTTATTCAAATATAAATTGTCCAATTTCAGAGACTAGTGTTTTTTTTTTTTTATTTTACTCTGTCTTATTGAAATATATTTGTATGTTTGTTCCTAGATATAGTATCATTTTATTGATTGTGGGCTGTTTGTTTTTTTATGCATTATGCTTCTAGTTGTTTACTACAGTTTATGTGATATATAGTGTTTGTATTACATTATCATATTTAGATATAGTATTTGTATATTTGCATATAGTATTATTACATATAGATTTTTTTCTTTTTCTTTTCAGTTGGAGGAGTACATTAACAATTTGTCTTCTCAGTTAACAGATGCTGGTGATTTGGATGGAATTCTTTTGACAGGTTAAAATCTCTTGCTTTCATTTTTTGCCTTAGAGAATTTATTTGGCATTTTATAGTGAATAGTAGATGTAGTATACCAGTCACCTGTCACTGACATGTTTAGGTCAACCAACTGACACAGCCTGTAAAATATGCATACACACTAAGTAATTATGGAATCATAACCAGCCTTCATGGTACCTTCTTGACAAATGAAGTTTATGACCTCATGGGACCAAAATTCTAACATGAGCCTGAATTAGTGGAGCCATAACTCATTAGAGGATGCCACAATAAGTCAGTAGAGGATGCTATTCCTCTTGTATCCAATTAGTGACATCATGAGCTTAAATGAGGCACTGTGTAAGGTTCTTTTTATCCCATGTCCCTTAGAGGCTAGAGAACACTGAACTGACCTGCTGAATACATGTTTTGGTATCTCCTGCATTGAATGTGGATGTAATTTAAACCAATGTTGCTTGTCTGTTACCACAAAAAATTCTAGCCAAACTATTCTGGTTATGATCATTAAGGACTTGTGGTTCATTACTTGCTGTCCAGAGTGAGCAGTAATGTTTTCCATTAGGTAAATCCTAGTACACATGTAACAGTATATATATTGATGGATACCAAATGTTCCCACAATTTCAAAAATAGAATGTTTCATCTGTCTAGCACCCACTATCATACCTTGTTTGATAGTTCACATCACCTTACCATATGCAGCCTAGTCAGTATTCATACTGATTCACTAGATATTAGGGCATGATTGATATTTGTCTGAACATTTCTGTGACATTAAGGTATGCTAATGTCACCTTCTATGACTTTTGGTACATCATTGTATAGCATTTACTGGATATTTACATAATACCATCTCTATCATATATCACTAATTATGATTGATTAAAGTTTTCTTTTAATATTGATGATTTTTGTACAAAAGCACAACAGAGCAACCTTTTAAAAAGTTGAACAAGTGGTCCGATAATTCTTTCAAAGGTTGAGTATATTTTTTTCTATTCTGTTATTATTTTTCAGTCAATCCTGTAGTATTTATCTAACTTCCTGTATGTAAGGTGTGTGTCATGCACCATAGAAAAAAAGTATTAAAGTTTCACCCATGTTAAATTATCCTGAAAGTAAATGAGTAATAAAACACGAGACATTCAGCTTATCACTGACTTTTTTTCATTTCTGTTTCTTCTCCCTTTCCTTTCACATGCTTTTATTTTTTATTTTATTTTTATTTTTTTACTCTTTCTTCTTTCGAACCATTTTTCTCCTCTTCTCCTTTGCTTTTTCTAATTTTATTGTCATGTGAGAATGAACATAGGCAGTTGATATATATGTGTGTGAATAATGAAATGGCAAATATTTAAGACAATTTAGAAAATTTCAAATCCACATGTCCCTGATGCTTAAAGAAAATCATGTTTTGACTCAGCAATATAAACTTTGTTCTGAAATAAAATCCTTTTTCTGATGATGCTGGTTCATCAGTGAAATTGAAGTTTGCAAAATTGTCTTTTGTCACCCTCTCCTCTGTTTTAGGGACAAACTCAAAGGCATCTTAAAAAGGTGTGAAATACCAGTTGATACCTGGGAGCATCAGGCTACAAACTGCTGAAAGTGGAGGTGAACATGTTTTAACAAGGTCAAAAACTATGAAATAATAAAACAAAAACACTGCTATGAATTGCTCTCTAACACTCTCCATTTAAATGCACCTGGAGATACTTTTGTTTGTCACTAGTTTTCTGGCAGGAAGCAATCCTGGAGTTGCCATTCAAGAAAAGAGACATATTCTTCCACCACATTGCATATATCCCCAATGTGATAGTCTGCAATAATGAGAAAGGCATAAAGATCCATATGAAAACTAATATAGTTATTTTACTAAACCCTCATCAATTTATCTCGATGGGAGAATCCATCCATCCATATATATATATATATATATATATATATATATATATATGTGTGTGTGTGTGTAACTCTTTTCAATGATATTATGCTGGTGATGTGCTGAGAAGCAACTTTTTGATCCAAACCAAAGTTCATACAGATATGCTAATCTTTATATAAATATTCCCATCATTTTTAACATGTATTATACTATTTATTTTTGTATAGTTCCAACATATTCTTAGACTTAGAATTTTAATGTAAAAACGTTATCAGATTGAGTGATTATTGATATATTTATTTTAGTAGAAATTGACTGCTAACTGGTTATTTTTTATTGCCATAATATGGATACAAGTAAATTATGTATCTAAATCAAATTATTTGCTTTTGATTGTATATAGGTTTTTCCACATCCTTAAAAATGTTTTTTGTTTTTATTGTAATTTATGTATGCAGTAATGTTCTGGAGATGTAGGTGCAATTGTAGTGGAATCAGAAAAACTTACTTAAAAGTATTTATATTAAAAAAATATTCCATATACATTTATGTATAGACAAACACTTGTGTATTTTATTCATTTCACAATGCTTTTTCTCAGAAACATTTACTTATGCTGTCTTTCATTTAAAACTGTAAATGAAATATTTGATATATGATACTGGTAACTTGTTCTTGTCAGATCTTTTTTTGGGGTTATGTACTTTATTAGAACAAAAGGTGACTTTTTTCCTGTTGTCTAACAAGTTTAGGCAACTTTAGGAAAAAAAAAGTTGCTTTTGTATAATGTCTGGTGTCTGTATCTTTTTTGAATCTTGTTACAAATTGAAGTTTGTACTTTGATTTAACCCTATCAGGCTTTAAGAGATTTCAGTAATTATTGAAAAATCTAAATATGTGACATTAGTGAAATTTAAATAGATATATCTCAAAAACTGTTGAAAACCAAGTCTTACAAGTTATATTAAAGTAAATTTATTTCTCTTTCAAATGATATCAAAATTTAACCACCTTGATTTTACTAGTTATGAGATGTGGTTTGGGAAATCCACAACTTTTACAAAGTTATAGATTTCTGGTGACTCTGTGATGGTGTTAATGCTGTGTATTGACAGTGCTAGTGAATTATGGGTACAATTCAGGCATTCCCATATAGTGTGTAAAACTTTCACTTACATTTGGGTGCTTCTGGATTTAAAGAGTTAACAAAAATTTTATACTTTCTTTTGAGAGGAACTGCAATATAAAATAGCAACAAAAATTGAAACTGGAAAAAATGTTTCAATTCTGACTGCTCAATATTAGTAGTTTTTTGTGTTGGCTTGAAAGCATGAATTTAAAGTTCATACTTGGATAAGTTGCTGCTGATAACATTAATGTTTTTACTTATCTCTTATTCTCTGTGTTGTAGTTGCATTCCTGCAACCTTCACATATCTATAGTGAGTAAAAGGACAGATTTAATATCTGGCAGTCTGTTATTTTCATCTTATGGAAAAATTATCTATTTAAAAAAAGAAAAAAAAAACAAACACCTTTCCATCCATTGTAAAATTAAAAAAAAAAAGAAAGAGGTTATAAAAGGGGACATCTATATACTAACAGTAAATTGAACAGGGTTCCTTCTTCGGGGAGATGCCTTGAGGTGAGGTAATAGTCTGGTTAACCATTACAAATGAGTAGTGAAATACTCACATCAGTGCTCCCATAAAATCAGTTTGACATTAATGAACCCAGCAAGGATTGACATGCTGTCAAATCACCCAACCCATTCTTTCTGGTAGTTTTTTTTAATCGCTTCTCCACAAGCAAGACTTTAATGCCACTGAGATACAAGGGGTTACTGAGAGTGAAAAAAGATCAGAAATCATAAGTAAGGAAGAAAAGACAATAAAAGAACAGGATTCAAGAAGACAGAAGATGGTGATTGATGTTGCATTTAAACTTTTGAAGATTGTAGGTGACAGGAAAGTAAGACGCTGGAAGAAAGTTCCACAAGTGAGAAGTGTGTGAAAATAAATGATTAGAATAAATGATTAGAATAAAACTTATGGTTACATCAAGCTATTTCAACAGTAAAATGATAAAACCTAGTTGTCAGTCTAGTACTACATCTAAATTCATGTGGTCGAGGTACCAAGGGGAAAAGCTCATCAGAACTATTGCCATGAAAATATTTATAGAGAACACACAGTGAAGCCAAGTCATGGCAATAGGAAAGTAACTTAAATCAAGATGTTAGGACCACTGATAACTTTACAGACTCTTCTTTAAATTTTATCAAGGTAAAAATGATTCTCTAAGATGACTAAATGATAGCAGTTTTGTTTTAGAGGTGTTAAAGTTTACAAGCCATAAACTTCCACCACATGATGATTGCATATATCCCCAATGTGATATACAAAGGGTTAGGACCACTGATAACTTTACAGACTGGCGGGTTCCTGCTACTCAAACTGCTTGTCTGAACTCAACACAAAGATAGCTGCACCCCTCACTCCCCAGTCTTAGCTGAAAAAAAATCCAAACATGAATGAAAAGGTAATTTCAGCATTTTATTTTGCATGAAAAATAACTTGTAGTAGTTTTCAGAGTAATTAAATCTAATTTACTGTAACTCCCATTAATAAGGGATGATTAACATGAGAGATTTGCAAGTTATTATTGATTCTCTATCATTATGACCTTGTGTCAAACTTGTTTTCATCAACAATTATCCCTTGCTTGTATACTGTAAAAAGAGGAAGTTGCCAGAAGCTAGCTTAATTGAGAATAAAGTCAATTGGCATTTTATTTTGTATATTTTTTCTCGCTTATTAAGTAACACCTGTGTGTTTATTCTTTAATTATATATTATAACATTGAAGAAGTAAAAATTTACGATAAAAATAGTTGTATAGTTACATTATGATAATGTAATAACCTTGAGAAATAGGTCAAGAGAAACATGCAGGTGTTTCAGCTGAGACCAGGCTAAACAGGCATTGAAGAACCTTCTTTTCTAAGAATTGTTAAAAGGTAGATAATAAAAGATAGGGATTTCCCAGAGACTTCACTTTTGAGTAAATGAAGTCTGCATGAATTAAATTTCTTTCATCCCAATAGATGTCCAACCCCACCTTACAAACTGGATTAACCAGATTTATCATTCCAGGCTTAATGACTACCACGAATTGGTTATGAGATGTAACCAATAAAATAACAGGGGTGGAGATTGCAATAATAAACTTATTTTGGAACTAGTATTGATTGGTTACCTCTGAATTTTTATGAGGATCTAACCATGTAGCAATTCTTTATTTTCCTTCACATGTCATCTTTTTATTTATTTATATACATTATTACTAGTAGTAGTAATAAGTTATATTTGAATTACTACAACTGGTGACCTAATATGTAAATTATTAGGACAAGCTTTAAAACAAATAAAAGGAATGTGGATTCAAGTCATGTTGGAGACTGATACTTTATTTCTGATTTGCATTGCTTACTGATGATTATAGAATATTAATGTGAGTTGTGATGAAAAATATCTGAAATTAAAATGAATGTAATGCTAATTGAACACGTCTTAAGATCATTTCTGTTTTAACATTACTAATGTAAGAAGAATTGTTCAGTTCTCTATGACTCATACATTTTTTGATGGACTATGAAATCATTTTCACTTGGGTATCCCATGCTTAATTTTGTAATTGCTAATAAATAATTAACCTGATAAATAAAAGTAACTTTTAGATTTTTGGGGTTGTAAATGAAGTATTAAAAGAATATTTTAATGCTTTAGTTTAAATTTTAATTTGTAATCTTAGTTTTTGTTATGCAAAGTTGTTAATAATGACAAAGTGAGAATTTGCAATTTTTAAAAATTGTTTTGAATGGCTAGAATCAATATTTGTAGCTAATGTAGGCTTATGTCTTCATATAGGTTAGTGATATTTTTCATTTTTTTTATGTGTGTTTTTTTTGTTTTTAGAACTTATTTTGATATGCTGATGTGTGTGTGCAGTATAACAGTTACTGATGTGGAAAAGGGGATTGCAGGTCAAGTTTAAATTTCAGTCTGAACTATGCTGTTCAATTTGCAACAATAATCTTCAAAAAAGGCATGAGTAAGATTGTAGGACAGACTAGGATCTTTATCTCTGGTTGGGAAACCAACCTAGGAGAAAGACATCTGTTAATTCAAAACCATGGAGAATGCAATGGAAGCTACTTCACTGCTTTTTACTCAAATACAATCCTGGCAATGCACTATTTACAGATGTTAATGAAAAGAAAGCTGTGGAGAGCCATGGTTACCCATGAAAATGAGCTACCATGGATCTCTATGAAGAAATTTTGATGTGATAAGCCAATTTATTAAAAATCTGTTGAAATTACTACTTGCCTGTTGGTTGTAAAGAAAAAGAGGATGGATTTCCTATTACCTTATTTAACTTAATCCAAATGATATCTGTATGATCCAAATGCACTAATTTTGGACACTGTTTTGTATAACTGTATTTTTATCTCTTATTCAGTTTCATAAGTCTTTATAATTATCATAAATCAATTGTCAAGGTCTGTGGGAACCCTTGGCTTCTCAGAAAAGAAAAATAAAACTCTTTATCTTCAAATCGGCAATTCTTTCGAGATATTTTCTCATGCCAAAATTTTTATAATTAACATGTGGCCTTGCCTTACCAGCACTTAAAATGATATCCTGGAAAAATAAACAAGGGTAATTTTCTTTACCCTGTATCGACAAATACTTTGGAATATTTTCTCATGCCAAAATTTTTATAATTAACACTTGGCCTTGCCTTGCCGGTACTTAAGATGATATCTTGTTTTTGTTTTTTCTTTAATCAGTACTTTTACAAACAACATTAATCAATTGTCAAAAGGCTCGCCAAATGGCCTTTTTGTGAGTCCACTGTTTATGCCAATTCTTGGGTTTTTTAGAAAAGTAACATTTTTTTTAAAGTAAAAATAAAATCTTGGGGTATCTTCTTTTCCATTCTCAGTATTTTCTTGTATAATTTTTATGGTTAATTAGTTAATCAATTACCATAGCAAAATAGTGTCACGATATTGGTATCAAGTAATGCCTCCTGTTACAATGGTATATCTTATCACTAAACAGAGGAGATAATGCATGACTAATAAATATATATAGACAATTTGTGTTTTATTTTACAGAATTTTTCCTTATATGTGGAAATAAGATGAAATAAGTATTTATTTCATCTTATTTCCAAAACCAAGAACAATTCTAAGCAATTCTCATTTATTACTATTCATAATGTTTTCTTTTTTTATATATATTTTAGGTCTCTCTGAGAAAGGTGTCAAACTCTTGCAGAATTATGTTGATCTGACTAGTGATGTCCAAACTGCTTCTTTTGTTGCGATATCCACATTTCCAAGCAACCTGTCATCTGACAGTCGTGTAGATTCTTGGATTCATGGGTGAGAATTATCAGATTAACATTTTAAATAGACACTCCCAAGGAAATACTCAGATTTCATCTTCATAATATGCTCCCCTATTTTTTATTTTAGATGTAACTGATGTATATTTCCATTTTAATTGTTTTTGGTTTAAGCTTTGATGAACGCTTGAAGATTGAGTGTATATCCTTTTGATCAGTCAATTATATAACTGTAAAATTTACAGTAACCAATAATTATTAATGGAAGTGAATAATTGTTGATGCAGCAGAAATTTCTGTCATTAACAGTTTAATCATAGATTTGCAATGATGTAAATGCCCACGATTTGCAGCTAATGGTTTAATGGAAAAATATGCAAATTCATTAACTCATATTTCATTCAAAATCCAAATCTGTTTATTATCTAAAGAAAATACAGGCCTGATTATCGCTGTTGTTGTTGATAAAAAATTTGAAATTTGCAACTAAAAAGTGAGAGTATTTTTTTTTTTTGTTTTTTTTTAAAACCTTTCAAAAGTGTAACCATTTATGAACTGAGGTCTTCTTCACAAGTTGCTTTCCAATTAACTTTGATCTTAAATTGTCATCTTCTATTTTCTTAATTCCTGATCTTCTATTGTTCTCTCGACTTAATGGTGTTTTTTTTCTCATATTCTCTGACACTCAGTAATCCCTTAGTGGGCTTATTGTTTTGTTTGGAGTGAAATGATTTAAAAAAAAGACTGAAATATTTCTTTTATAGTAAATTTCATGATATCACATCAAAACTGTTTCACCTTAATAACATACAAGGATAACAAAAACTATTAAACAACATTATATAATAATATATTTGTTTAAACTGTGCTAGGTTTAGTTTTTTTTTTTTTTTTTTTTTTGAAAAAAAGTGAAATATTATGTTCATAGTTTTATTTAAATTATTTAAGAACATTGTTTTAGTCTGAATACCTTAAAATTTCTGTTTCCACTTGATTATTAAAAACTAGTGGATTCTTAACTGGCAAAAATTCTTTAGTGTTCATACAAAGAAAAAAAAGAATTGATAAAAGTTAAATTCTGTTGAGACACACTTAACTGATGACACCAGGCAGAATTGTTCACTAGTTATTGCATCTTTGAAGGATGTTTTTAAATGTATGTAGGTTGACAGTTTTTGTTTTTTATTTTATTTTAGGTAATGCATACCACCACACACTTCATGTAAAATTAAAAAAAAAACCAAAATGCTAACACTAAGCATACAAGGAATGAGAGAGAGAAAACTTATTACTAAATTTCTTAAGGAGTCAATTGTAGTTGAGATCATTGAGTCAATGCAAGCAATCCTTTTCTTTAGCTGCATATTATGTGCTTTGCCAGGACTAGACACAGTTGTAAATTCAGAGTTTTCCTTCTCTTAGACTGGTTGCCACCCAAGGCTATAGAACTCAGTCTGTCTTACTATTTACTCATAGCCGGCAGGGGTGGGGAGAAGAGTTTGATTCATACTTTTTCAAAATATGCTCTACTTGCGCCAGTTGTAAACATGAAAATATCTCAGCTATTAAACAGTCATTATATAAATGAAATTTATATAGCTGAACAAAAAATGTTAGTGCTAAGAAATTGTTAAATGAATGTTGGGATGTAATTTTAATGCTCTTCAATTTGTACAAGCTTTAGTCAAAAGATTTTTTTTTTTCTTTTGAAATCATATCACCCCCAAGCAAGGTGGTAATGTCACTAGTGCACAGAGGGTTATGGGGAATAAAACTGTAAGAGAAGACTGATAATAGGTGGGGTTCAGGAGACAGAAGATGACAAATGATGTTGCATCTAAAATTTTGAAGATTGTAGTTATCAGAGAAGCAAGTAAACAGAAGGGTGTTCCACAGGCGAGAAGTGCAAGAAAGACTATTGAAGTAGAAGTGGCAGTTACATTTAGCTATTTCAACAGTAAAAGGGTGGAACCTTGATGCCAATCTAATAGCATGCTTAAATTCATGTCTTTGAGTCACCAAAGAAAAAAGCTTGTCAGAGCAATAGCCATGAAAAGCAGTTGTAGAAAAGACAGAGGGAAGCCACGTCACATTGGTGAGAAAGTGACTGCAGTTGAGATGCTTGGTCAGGATTCATTACATTACAGATCCTTCTTTGGATTTTGTCAAAAATCTCAAGATCCACAGCAGGAGTACCAGACCAAATATGGCAATAGTATTCAATGCACGGACAAAAAGTAGATTTGTAAATGTGCAAGATGGATTCTGATGAGAAAAATGACCCAACTTTCTTTGCAGTACATGTTGATTTGATATAGTTTGATACTGCTCAATTGATTTGATATAGTTTGATACTGCTTGATTGATTCAATATTGTTTGATACTGCTCATCAGGTTATATCAACATTATCATTTTTTAAGATATATGTTTTTTGAAATTTATTGCAATTGCAATATTTCTATCTGCTATTACAACATCTGAAACAAAAAGGACATGTGAATAGCAGTGATATGAAGGAAAGTAAGAAGAAAGGACTAAATATCAGTTGCAAGAAGACTGAATGCATGGTTGTTAGCAAAAGAGACAGCCCAACATGCAAATTACAAATTGGAGATACCAAAATCAAACGGGTACAATTTAAATATCTGGGAAGGGTTCTAACAGAGGACAGAAAGTGCAACACTGAAATTCAAAGGTGTATTGGGATAGTGAAATAATACCTTCCAAAAGCTAAGCAAAATATTAATAAACAGGATAATTTTGTTAGAATCGGAGAAAAAAAATACTGAACTGTTATGTAATATCAGTTCTCCTATATGGCAGTGAATGCTGGATAATCTCACAGATGAAAAAGAGACTTAAAGTAACAGAAATGCGTTTCTACAGAAGGATGCTGAGAATACCATGGATTGATCATGTGAGCAACAACAGTTTTAGAGAAAATGGAAACAAAAAGGATACATCCTTAACATCTGGAAGAGACAGTTGGAATTTTTAGTGCACATAATGAGGAAAGCAGGCTTGGAAAATTTGATGCTCACAGGACATTGAAGGCAAGAGGGACAGAGAAAAACAATGTATAATAACATACCTAGTGAGTTTGAATAAATGGATGCAGAACAGGTTTGAGGAGAAATAACAATTTTTTTAAAGAGCTATACAAGACAGCCATGACGGCCAACATCATGAAGGATCATGGCAAATAGAAGAGAAGAATGATGTATATAATATTAATTATATAATGGACTCCTAAGTAGTCATTAGCTACATATATATAAAATAAGCTTTCAAGTAAAACTATGTAAAATATGAAAATACATTTGCTATATCCCTTATACAATTTGTTAAAGAGACTGTGACAGGCAGTTGGCATTAAATGTAAAGACCCTTTTCTCACTGTTGATTATGTAATTTAATAACTTAGCCTTTTTCCATGCTATATAGAGAATAAAAATGAAATGAAAAATGTTTTGTCTGACAACTGTAAAACTTTAAATACAGTAGACAATGATCAGCAATGAATCATAATATGACAATATTGCTGACAAAACAGTGTAGATATTGCAACAGTTTATGGGTTTTTGGGTTAGTAGACTATTCTAATATTGTTACAGTATCCTAAAGAAAATAAAGTGTCAGTTTAGATATTTGTTAGACAACCTTAGAACAACCTGTGAAAAACAAACTCTGTAGCAAGGTTTGCAAGAATAGCATACTAACCTTAATTCAAGAAATCTGACACGAGGATTAAGCATCAAGTCTGACTAGAAAATAAATTTTTATCTAACATTCTTTATTCGGTCACCCATTTATTTCTTACTAAGTGGAAGATACTTATACAGAGGAAGCCGCTTATTGTGATCACCCTGGGGCAGAGTTTTTTAGATGATAATAACCTCTTATGATAATGTGTTACTTTAATACATTTATGTCTATACTGAGGAAGCCGCTTATTGTGAATGGTTTAGAACAGGGTCTTTCGGATAACAATAACCTCTTATAACAATGTATTATTTTAAAATATGTATATTTTATACAGAGGAAGCCAATTATTGTGTTCAATCTGGGGGTATTTTAGATAATGATAAGTTTATGCAAATATAAAATTTGGAACAGTATAATTTTATTGTTATAAATGCATTTCTATGTTATAAAATGAATTGTTACAAAAATGTTTTACAAGGTGATGCTTAAAGCTTCTTAGTGTGATTCACTTTCTACTATCAGTATTTCAATGTTGAACATCAGAAATACTGGTTTTAAAGATGTAGTTTAATGTGACCACATCCAATTATAAAAGAAAAAATAGCTCGATGAAAATTTCACTCATTAAATTCGACCTAAACATTTTTTTAATATAATTATTCATATGAGATTTAAATTAATTTAAAAATAAAGGACTGTTTAATAAATAGTTAGATGACATTTCTATGAAATTCCCTTTGAGATCTTTACTTGCTGTTAAAATGTATATAGAATTGCCCATAAATGATATATTTCTATTAATAAAATTTGTTTTATATTTGAGATATTTATTATTTGCTATTTCTAGGCCAAAAATGAACAGGTACTATAGGACCATCTATAACATGGCAATGCTAAATGTTTGTCCTTTTAATGCTAATATTTTATTTTCATCACAAGATGTATGATTTAAGTTTAAATTATATGATGGATATAACATATTATAGATATACTTCATAAGTTTTTCATTATAACTTAGATTCCAGCATTTTATCATTTTTTAACACATATTGCATTTGTTTAATCTAGCTCTGATAGTAAATAGATCATTTAAAAACAAAGGTTATAGTTACTTATATCACATTTAAGGCAATTAGATAAAATAAATTTCTGCTGTAATTTCTGTTTTTTGTACATTTTTGATCCTCTGTTGTATATATTTATCCTCACAAATCAGAAAATAGTTTTATACTTGAAAATCCAATATTTAAATGATTATAATCGAGTACAAAAGGCTGTATATGCACATACATGTGTATAAACCACTAAAGAAATTTATAAGTTTTGTTCCAGAATAATTTGCTACATAAATATTAAACTAGAAATAATTATCAGATTTTTGCATGAATTTGAATGAAATAAAGTTGTTTTTATGCCACAGTATGTTGCACCAAAAATTTGATAATTATTTCTAATTTAATAATTATGCAGCAAATGATTGTGGAACAAAACTTATAAATTTCTTTTAGTGGTTTATACATATATATATATATATATATATATATATATATATATATATATATATTACCTTTTGTACTCTATTATAATCATTTAAATATTGGATTTTCAAGTAAAAAACTATTATCTGATTTGTGAGGATAGATATATACAACAGAGGATTAACAATGTACAAAAAATAGAAATTTATTTTATCTAGTCACCTTAAATCTGACATGAATAAATGTTATTTGCTGTCTACTTTTTGGAGTTTAATTTTTTAAAACATCAGTTAAACTTTGACTCTTCTTTTAGCCAGGTTGAAGTCTATGGTTTTACAATATTGAATGTCAATATTGTGGAACAGGCTCCTGGGAACATGCTTCTCTGAATACTACAATCTTAAATACTTCAAGTCTAGAGTCAACTGTTATTTATTCTATATCTATCCTCATAATAGGCATTGCTTGGTCCCTCCCTGCAATGCCCTTACAACAACCTCATTTAGTAACTTTCTATCTTCAGTTGATCTTGGGCCGTGTCAGGGTCAGCAACCCCTTGGCTTCTCAGCTACATCTGACACTTGAAGGATTTTTGTACAGCTCACCAAGTTAACACCTGGATATTAATTATCTCATTCATTTGTGGAGCAAGTAGCAGAAAATATCAGTTGGAGTTAATTGACTTACAGTGCAACAAAGTTTTTAAATCAAAGTTCTACAAGAAATATGTTTTGCCAAGCAGAAAATATAAAAGGCTATTGAATAATGCAAAAATGATGGCCACATTATTTGGAAGTACATATGCTTGGGAACAACTTTTTTTTTTTTTTGAAAATTAAATATGCTAAAAGTTGATTAAGAATAAGGTTGGGTGATGACCGCTTGAATGATGTTTGTTCCTATAATCAACAAACATTTCACCTAAGAAGTTATTGAACAATAAGCAGGAACAAGTGTCTCATTAAATAATTTGCCATTTCTCACCGTATTTTGTTTGTAGTAAGGAATTTGCATTTTTTATTGTTTGTGTTAGTGGTTATCCTGTTATTCCTGCAGTAAAATAAGGAACCTTGTTTAAATAATATAACATTAACTTCGATGTTTTTTTTCTTCAAACCTCCAAACTAAGGCAGCCTTCTGGAGGGAGCTATCTGAGGTCAAGTCAATTTATTATAGTACATTTGATATCATGGCCTTTGTCCGAGACACTACATAGCTTTCTGGCCCACTTTCTTCAAAAGGTTGCTGACCCATGTATTAGGTGAATAATAGACAAAAAAGAAAAATAATGTTTCAATATTATTTGATCTAAGTAGTTGTTAATATTCTTTACATGATTAAATCTTTCACTTCATTTTCAGATACCGGAGCCTATTAAATCAATGGAAGCTATGGAAGCAAAGGTATGGGAAGAACATGTAATGACATTTTTTGTCATTTATTGTGATAAAATTTCTTAAATCTCACTTTAAGAGGCAGTTGGACAAAATTCATGAAAATTGCATTTATTTTTGTTGCTCATGACATCTTTCCATTTGAGATGTCAAATTCAGAGTCTTTCTTTAATAGTCTACATTTCACAATGGTTTGATTGTTTGTATCCTCATATAATAGTACAGATCTTCCATGATTTTTATTGGTCAGTAACTTCTGTAATGCTAGAAAAAATGGATGACAACAGATTCAGATGTGTCTTGCATGTAAAATATTCCCCAAAAGAAAATGGTAGTTTTGAGTTGTATATTTAAAGATGATAGATCTTAAAGCCAGATACCTTCATGAGACTCTCTTTCCACCTGTGCAAACTTCAACTGGCATTCAATCTATAAAGAGTGCTTAAAGATGCGACAGGAGGAGTGTGACAGCAGTAGTGAGCAGGAGACATGTGTTGTTGGATTGTTTGACTTACACTACTCTGTTGGTTGAAGAAAACAAATTAGGGAACTTTATTACAAGCAAGAAGAAACTGACTACAACTTCCAATTAGAAAAGTTATTCTTGGTACAAATATTAGTAGTCTATCTGGGTAAACGTTAATCTACCAGTGACTTTAACTTCGGATATAAAACCTGGAAAATATTTTTGAGCTTTTTTTCTTCTTTTGTGTAGCATCCTATGTATCACTAAATATAGTAGTTCTGCAGATAAAGATATAAATCAATCCAATTTACCCAATTTCTATACAACTATGAGGTAAAATTGTCTGAAAATTATTTAAAATAATAGTATAATCTGAAATGATAGCTTATGTAATGTTTTGGATCTTTATTACAGTATAACTAGTGTTCATACCTTTAATGGCTAGCCAAACCTTATTACAGATGCTTTCTCAACCAACGGAAACCCTCCTGTAGTTTATACAGTAACTATGCCAAGTAAACATTAGTTTCTGGGAGAGAGTGCATAATCCGGTGTGATCAGTTTTTTTGAATAAGGCAGTCTACACAAACCTTCAATCCCATTGATTTGTGACTTCATGCTAGCACAACCATTGATGGCTTCCTAATGGTTTTGTCTCCCCAATTTCACTCACAAGGCCTCGGATAACTTGCAGTTCTAAATGTACCATCTGCTGGGATCATTTTCCCAGGTAGATAACATCAAGAAGTAACTTCTCTGACAAATTGACCCTGATGAGATTCAAACCAAGGTTTCATGGTCAGAAAGTGAACATTCTAACCACTCAGCCACCATAAGAATCACACACACACACACACACACACACACACAAATTTTGTTAAATTTAGCTATCTGTTTTTATTGTATTTTTCCAATTTTCAAATATGTTGTTGTTGCACGTGGTTCTTGATAATGACTGAGAAAGTTCTTGAAACAAAAAAAGACAGAACAAACATGAACTTCAGACATGTTATCCAGTTTTGACCCTAATATACATCTTATTTGAAAACTAAAAATACATTATAAAATTTATAAAACAGTGACATATTGTTGGTTGAAGTTAATGAAACTTGTTTGGATGAAAATTTGCTGTCTATATATAACTTTATATTCAAATGTCACTTTTAGAGGATACCAGTGTTTGAAATAGTTTAAAAAAAAATGGGATGTCTGTGTTTATTATGCACTTGAGAAAATTTAATAAAGGGAAATGAGCTCTCTGGCAGAGTTCAAACCTGCATGTCCTTTTTCTTGAGTGTGCATGCTGGTAGATGTAATACATACTGTTTAAAAAAGGAGGTATCTATTTCAAACATGGGTATCCACTAAAAGTGATGTTTGAAGTAATAAAAATGTCAGATTATAAATTAATTCATTAATTCTTTAGAAAATTGCTTTGTTTATCCTTTGGATATAAAATTGAGTAGATATGGACTTTCAAGAAAATCTGAATGAATGGATGTGCATTCCTTAAAAGGGTAAATACTGTGAAGGAGATTAAATTCCACCTTTGATATGTGTTGAATTTTTCCAGATACATTTAAGTGGTTGGATTGTTCGTTTTTTGGCCATGAAACCCAGGTTTGAATCTCACCACGGTTGATTTGTCACGAAGTAGATTTCCTGATGTTATCAGTCTGGAGGAGTTGAACCCAGCATGTGGCACCTTTGGAAAGTACCTGAAAACCATACCACGTGTTTACCCAAATCTTGTGAGTGAAATTGTGTAGATGGAACCCTTGGGGGCCGTTGATTGCTGTGCTGGTACAAAGTTACAAGTCATCATGACCGAGGGTTTAAGTGTGCTGGTGTTGTTCAGATTATTGATCACGCTAGATCTCTCCCAGAAACTGTAACTAAGGTCTGCTCAGCATAGTTGCAGTATAAACCACAGGTTGGCTCTATGGGTGTTGAACAAACACAAATGTGCCTGAGTGGGCATCTGCAATAGGGATTGGCTAGCCACCCTAATAGATAGGTATCCTCAAAAATGAGTGGCCAGCTATATATATATATATATATATATATATATATATATATATATATATATAATGAAAGTGTATTCATTTGTATTATATAATTTTTTTTCAGGGCCTTGTTTGATATAGTATGGCAAGGTAGTGATTCCGTGAATCATGTTCATTCTGAAGTATTTGTCAGCTGCCACTCTTGTCGTAAGTCTGTCTCTCGTAATGTGCAACCGTTAATGAAGAACAAACAGCAGAGTTGGACACGTTCCAGTAATACTGCTAAACATGTCAAGGTAAATTCTCTTTTAAACATATGTAGAAAATTGTCTTATGTAACTATGGATATGAAATTGATGTATTTAGTTTGTATATTGTAAATTTTTATCTTTATATTTTTTTTTCCATATTTTCACTAAATATAGTTTGAGATGAATGCAAGAAAATATGAGTTTACAGTAATTTAACTATAATAACAAAGCTTTAGTTTTCTCTTACATTGTGAATGTTATATGCATAAACAAATAGATTAAGATTTAGATAATTTCCTGTTATACAAATAAAATAATGATTATTTACTGAAATTTTGTAACAAACTATAATTATATCCATCTATCAACTTCTGAAGGTCCCATTCACTCTCAGTTCAAAATTTACAACCCTCAAATATTGTCATATTTTTTCATTCAACATTCACCAGCTCTAAGTTTGTGTACAAGAAAAAGATCGTTATGCAGGGGATGTGAATGTCCTTCATTTCACATCACTGACATGTTTGTTTTTGCTATTTTCTTGTATACATGAATTTATTCATTTATATTTTAATAAACTGTTTTTGTATTTGGAAGATAAACATTTTGTAAAGACTTTAGGAAGGGGGCAAAATTATCTTTGAGTGAATAAGATTTAAAAAAAAAAGTGTTTCATTTATTTCTCCTCTTCCTGAAATGTATTATAAATTTAAATGGTTAATCTTCATTCAGTGAATTTATTTTCTCTATGGATGTGATTTTAGGTATCCTGCTGCCCTCACTGTCGTAATCCACTGCCGAGATGTGCTCTTTGCCTGAAAAATTTGGGTACAGCTTCTGGGGCATTTTCTATTGAAGGGTCGCTTGGTAAGTAGATTGTATTTTAAATAGTGGATATATTCTTAATTAGCTATTGTTATTCTGTATTTTAGATTTCACCTTTTGTCTTTAGGTTTTGTGGGAAAATAATTTTTTTTTTTTTTTTTTTTTTTTTTTTTGACCACTTGTAGTTTACAAGCCATGTTTGGGTATGATTCAGTTTGTTATTGTTGAACAATTGCTTTGTGTCATGTCCTGACTGGGGGTGAGACAATAAATATTAACAAAGAAAAATTAACTAATCAGTAATTATTAGCCATTAGGAAGTATTATTCCCATTTTATTAATTACCTTCAGCTGTTAAACACTTTTATTTTACCTTTCTTTCATTCATTTTCTCACAGAAACCAGGTAGCTTGATATATATTTTGTTTTTCCATCTGATCAAAACAGAATAGTCCATTATTTAGGAGGTATTGGCAGGAGACATTCAACACTTCTATCTTCCCCTCTTTCTTTCTTTCTTTAATTTTCTTATTGAAGCCAAATAGTGTCTTTTCTGCTCTTCCCATATAGTCAAAACAGAATAGTCCATTTGCCTTCAACCGGGAAGGTAATGCCTCTCTACTCGACCTGTGCTTTACCTCCATCCCCGAATCCTGCAGCGCCTCGCAACTATGCCCTTTTGGTAACTCTGACCATGCAGTAGTATCGGTTAACATCTCCTTTAACTCCACCCCCTATAAAGAACCTCCTACCACTAGAACTTCGTTCTATTATCAACGAGCTGACTGGGACGCGTTCTGTGATTTCCTCCGCGATGTCCCCTGGGATGGAGTCTTTAAGCTCCCTGTCCAAGAATGTGCTTCCGAGGTCTCTTCTTGGGTTAAAGCTGGAATCGATGCTTTCATCCCATCAAGGAAATATAGGGTTAAGTCGCGCTCCTGCCCCTGGTTCTCGGCTGCTTGCTCAGCCGCCATCGCCCATAGGAACCACTACTTCCACCTATACCGTAGCGACATGTCTGACTGCAATAGACGTCTCTTTGCCTCCGCCCGTAATGAATGTAAGCATGTCCTAAATGATGCTAAGTCACTATTTTTGGCTCGAATGAGGGAATGTATTGCATCTCGCAAATTTGGCTCCAAAGATTATTGGCGTCTCTGCAAGAGTGTATTGAATAATTGCAAACCCTCTATACCTCCTCTATTCAACCAGTTCAAGTCTTGACCTCCTCTACCGACAAGGCTGAATGCTTTGCTGGAAATTTTCATCCAACTCGACGCTCGACTCTTCGGTGTACCCATACCCGACTTCCCTCTTAGAACTGAGGCCATATTGAGTGGGTTAAACATAACCCCAACTTTGGTACTGGGCGTTATCTCCAATTTAGATCCCAACAAAGGCTAGTGGTGGAGATGGGATACCAGCCATTGTCTTAAAGAAATGCGCGCCTGAACTGGCGCCCGCCCTTTCTAAACTATACAACTACTGCCTCAAGGAATCTTGTTTTCCTGACTGCTGGAAGTCCTCTTCGATCGTTCCTGTTTTCAAGAACTCCGGCGACCCTCTGACCCTTCCAACTACCGTCCTATCAGTCTCCTTCCCTCTTGGCAAAATCTTGAAGCTCTAATCAATACCGGGGTGGTTAACCACCTCACATCCCATAATCTGCTCTCAGACAAGCAATATGGTTTCCGCTTTGCCAGATCTACAGCCGATGTGCTCACAGCCATCACTAAAACAGTCTACCGAACTCTCCAAAATAATGGGGAAGCCCGAGCCGTGGCACTAGATATCTCCAAAGCATTTGATAGGGTTTGGCACGCCTTCTCCTCCGCAAGATCCAGGGTTATGGCATTACGGGTCAATTATATAACGTAATACAATCATTCCTGTCAAACCGTGAATTGAAGGTTGTTCTCAACGGATTCTCCTCTAGTTCCTATCCCATGAACGCAGGTGTTCCTCAAGGCTCCATCCTAGGCCCCACTCTATTCCTTATCTACATAAATGACCTTCCTGACGCCGTAACTTCTCAAGTCGGCATCTACGCAGATGACACCACAATTTATTCCTGCCTCAAAAACAAATCTAGTCTCGCTGACAAAACTCACCTTGCCGTACGTCTCGAAAAGGATCTCCAATCGATTGTGAACTGGGGCATGATTTGGCTGGTCAACTTCAACGCTTCGAAGACAAAACTGCTCTCTATTAATCACCACAGAGAGCCTTCCCTTCCCTCCATTAGAATGTCTGACGCTCAACTTCTCGAGAGCAACTCTCTGCGGCTTCTCGGTCTCACGTTGACTGCTGACCTGAGATGGAATAAATACATCGAGTCAATTGCCTCGTCCACTGCGAGGAAATTTGGCTCCCTGAGCCGCTAGGAAGTTTTTTCTCCCTGAGTCGATCCTCCAGATATACAAATCCACTGGTCGCCCTTGCATGGAGTATTGCTGCCATATATGGTCTGGCGCCCCTTCTGTTTGCCTCGGGGTTCTTGATAGTCTCCAGAAGCGGATATGCAATATGGTTGGCCCTGCCCTGGCGTCCAAATCTACAGTCACTTTCTCACAGACGCTTTGTCGCCTCCCTCTGTCTGTTCTACAAATACTTTCATGGAAATTGCTTTGAGGAGCTGCATTCGCTGGTTCCCAGACTTCATGAGTTCAAAGCGCCCTACAAGGCTGGCATCCCACACTCACCCCTTCACTGTGAAACTCCCTAAATGTAGCCGTCTCTTCTACTCTAATAGCTTCATGTCTCGCACCTCTCGCCTGTGGAACTCTCTTCCCTTCTCCTGTTTCCCTGTGAGTTATAATCTCCAGCTATTCAAGTGTAATGTCAATCGACATCTCCAGTTGCCTTAATCTATCTACTACCCTCATCCTTTCTTCTATCACTCCTATCTGATCTTCCTATTTTCTGTAACCCCTTGCGTCCTAGTGGCTTCCCGCCTTGCTTGGGGTGAAATGCTTAAAAAAAAAAAAAAAAAAAAAAAATTTATGAGGTATTAGCAGGAGACATTCAACACTTCTATCTTCCCCTCTTTCTTTCTTTCTTTGTTTATGAGGCGAATAAAGAAAACAGCAACCAGCGAGTAAATTCAAGCTCTCCCAGCTGGTATTTCAACCTTGAGTCGTTCCTTCTTGAGTTCTGTCTCAAAATCGCACTAACAGACTGTTCTTGCCGCCAACCGTGAACGTCACTCGAAGAACTTCCCACTGGTAAAAAAGTAGTTGCTTTTATATTTGTCCATATACCCATAATTCCCTGCGTCTTCATGTGATCCTATAATTCATTGCATCCATGTCCCATATGCATTGCATCTTTATTGCATAAAAATGCAATGCAAGTCCCCCCTCATTCTTTTACATTATCTGGCCGAGGACGGATTACGGCAGAGTGGTAAGTGCTTTTTTCTCCCTCATTTCAACTGCAGTAGCTTTACATGCTAAGCAAATACGGGCTCTTTTTTGGCGGGGACAAGGCAAGTCGCGACCAGTTGTGCTCGTCCCAGGTTCTGTCTCATGTCTGCCACAGTTTAATTTTCTTATTAAAGCCAAATAGTGTCTTTTCTGCTCTTCTCACATAGTCAAAAAAGAATAGTCCATTATTTATGAGGTATTGGCAGGAGACATTCAACACTTCTATCTTCCCCTCTTTCTTTCTTTGTTTAATTTTCTTATTGAAACCAAATAGTGTCTTTTCTCCTCTTTCCACTTGGTCAAAACGGAATAGTCCATTATTTATGAGGTATTGGCAGTGTGTAATGGCCGTGCAACTAACAAAGTGAGGGACAAGCACAGTTATAATAGGATACTAGTAAATCAAGCAGTTTTTCAAAAGAGTAGTGGTGGTGGTAGTAGTAGTAGTAGCAGTGACAAGGCAGCTCACAGATTAAAGGCAGTTTAATTCTGTGTATGCCCTGTTTTCAAGAATACAGGTGAGCACTCATACCCATCTCAATATAGTCCAATTAGCCTCAGTGTTATTAGCAAACTTTTTGATGCTATAATCAACAAGAACGTTGTTGATCACCTCGATAGAAACAATCCCCTGAGATACAAGCAGTATGGATTTCAATTGGCTTGATCCACTGCTGATATCCTAACTGTTCTTATTAACGGAATCAATGAGGAACTAGACAACAAATATATCTCCAGAATGATCACATTAAATATTTCAAAGGCCTTTGACAAGGTGTTATATAAAGGGTCATTGCACACTCTAGCTATGGAATGACTGGAAGAGTCCTTCTAATGGCTAGTTCCCTGAAGGTAGTTGTTAACAGTCAGTCCTCTGAGATCCAATCCTCTTTCTGCTTTACGTAAATGATCAGCCTAATAGGATTTCTCAAATATTTATGCTGGTAGATGAAAATCATTTGTGAAAATCTATGCTGATGATACAACGGTATATGGGTATACCTCCAAAACTCTAGATGAACTTGGTAGCTGATCTCTCCTCTGACATGGTTTTAACAGCTCAATGAGGGGGAAAAATCTGGCTGGTCATATTCAATACCTTAAAAACCAATCTAGTGATGTTCTATCATCATCAAGTGAACTCTTAATTTTGGCCTATTGTGAGTTACATTACATCTTTAACTGTCTATTATCTTTTGTGTTGCCATTGTATAATACTATTAGAGTCATTGTATATTGTACACTTTCTGTCATAATTTATAAATTCAGACACTAAAACATCTCCATTTGAAAATTGGTTCACTTGGTGTCAATCTTGCCGTCATGGAGGACATGCAGGCCATGTCATGGATTGGTTCAAGTAAGCATTGTATTCTTATATATTTGTTACTAAAGCCATCTTGTGTAATAACAGAATCATCACTTAATGTTATAGAATTGAAAAGTTTCTGAATGCTTTTTTAAAATTTTTATTTTTAAGAAAAATGATATCAGAAAGATTTAATAAAATGAAGTTTGCTTTAAAACATTTTTAAGAAAAAAAGAATTTATCCCCTTTTACTTTTTTACTGTGATTTTTTATATATATATATATATATATATATATATATATATATATATATATATATATATATTTGTATATATATATGTGTGTTTAGTCATTTTGGTTATCATGATTGTATGTATTGAATAAGATTTTAATTTTCATGTCCACATTTAGAAATCAGTTCTGATGTTTTTGTTTAGCAGTTTGTTTTGATATGGAAAGGTAACAATCACTATTTTCTCTTTGAGGCAAAGATTACATATTTTTGAGTTATAATTGTAAGCTGGTACTGTTTTTATTATTCTCTATATATGCTTTTATTTGTGTTTTGAGTTGTCATATATAATTTGATAGTGTAGTACTGTTTGCATATTTTCTGTTGATAAATGATTTATTCTGTGTATGCATATATCATAAGTACATGCACAGTACAAATAGAAAAACTTTTAAATTTGTATTGCTTTTAGCTTAGTCTAATCATTCTTAGTTTTCTGTATATTTCTGACTGAAATGTTTCCTAATGACTACATATAATAAAAACTTGTGTTTTTTAGTTAAACATGTTTTATCAATAAAAAAACAATGGTTTTCAAACATTGTAACTGAGCTGAGCCTGTCCTACTTTAGTAAAAGTTCTTATTCTACAGTTGTATTAGATTCATTACTTCTGTTATTTTCAGTCTTTGTGAATCTTTAGTGCAAGCAAGAGAAGTGTGTGCTTGTTTTGGTGGGAGGAGTATCATTTACAAGGTACTATAGTAAGCAAGCTATGTTGTATGCTGAGAGGAGGATTGTTATTTTTTAATAACTTGTTTCATTTAAAAATTAAATACTCTTCTAAATAAGACCTTTCAGATATCATATATTCAGAGATATAAACAACATTTGAAAAGGCAGAAAGAAAAAAAAATATTTAAAACTTTGAGAATTTTCATTTTGATAAAGCCTCCCAAGAAGTTTGAGAAATGTGTTGTTGTAAAGCAGCTGTTGGCGCTAAAATTGTGCAAAGTATATTAAATAGTAAAGTGGCTACTTGAACCACACTGCATTGTAAAATTGATTATATTACCAAGATAATCATACTAACTTGATAGAAAATATTTTTTTATAATTAGTGCTTGATTTTAAAAACAATATCAAGAATGTTATATATCAATACTTTGGCTATGAAAAAGCTTTTATAATGTTAAAACCAAAGATGAGTAGTCAAGTGACTATTTTTTTCACTTTTAGATGTTATTTTTAATGGATATCCATATTTGAGTAGCTGCTTCGTTTATTTATTAAACAATATATTTATTTATTTTCATCCACCATCTGAATATTCATGAAATCTTATTAAAGAAAAATATGTGCTCTCCAGTAGGATTCAACCCTACATCTCCCTAGGTAGATGGAACCATTGTTAAATCCAATATGTTTTAACCAACTTGGCCATAAAGAACTTTTGCTGGTCAAGCAAGGCTGGATCGTGCCTTTAAGCAAAATCCTTCTCGTTATGGACTCTCGAAATTTCATATCTGCTCAGTTTCATATCCAAATGCAAACAGAGCAATTTCTAAAGTGATGGATTCTTAATTGGAGTGCACATATTTTTCTTTAATAGGATTTCTCAAATATTTATGCTGGTAGATGAAAATAAATATATTATTTAATGAATAAACAGAGTGTCTACTCATATATTGGTATCCATTAAAAATAACATTTAAAGTGATAAAATCTGTTGGATTAATAAATAAAAATCCTTTACTTCTTTAGAAATGGCTCAATTATGCTATATTTTCAGTACGATGAGTATTTGCAATGAAAATAACATGAATATTTATTTATTAAAGACATATTTTTATGTTTAACGTTGTTATTTTATAGATACAAGTATTTAAGCAAATGCTCTGTTTATGATAAACATAAAATAATAAATAACATTTACCGGCCTGAATGTCCGAGAAATTTTCATAGAAAATTTTCGTTCTTTGACAGGATTTCTATGAAAATTTCTCGGACATTCAGGCCGGTAAATGTTATTTAATACTGTTTATCATAAACAGAGCATTTGCTTAAATACTTGTATCTATAAAATAACAACGTTAAACATAAAAATATGTCTTTAATAAATAAATTGTCGGACCTTGTCCATTTCTTAATATATGAATATTTATGCTTGAATGTAAAAAATAATTGCTATATTTTATCAAACAATTGTATATTTTCACCAATTGATATAAAAATGTTTTTGATTCTAACTTTCTTGAAATTTTAACTGTAGATCTAAAACTATATTTTTTTTTTCAGAGATCACAGTGATTGTCCTGTGGCTGGTTGCTCATGTAAATGCATGGCATCAAATTGTGCCTCAAAGACTTAAACAAAGTTTTTTTGTTATTTTTTTTCTTTCTTTTTTAATGAATTGGGTCATTCTAATTGGCTATTTCAAGATTTATTATCAATATTTAAAATGAACAGATTTCATGAAGGAACAATCAAAGAAATGTTTTTGTTTTTTTTGTTTCAAAGAGTTTTTTTTCTAAAGAAACCAAGCAAAACTCAGTTCTCTCATGGTTCATATAAATTCAACAATTTCTTTTCTTTTTTATTCACTATTTCCTTTCTTCCCTGACCCTCATTCTTTGCCTCCTCCTCCTCAATTTTCTTACACCAGGCATTTCACACTTCTCTCCCATTGAATAACCATTAGCTTTAAAAAAATCAGTCTCATTCAAAATTGCTTTATACATTCTTGTTCATAGGCATTTAAAAGTAATTGAAAAAGTTAAAAGAATAAATAAAAATTAAAAAAAATAATTTATAATTTTGAGTTACATTATTTTTAGGGTGAGTTCAAATATTATGATCTGTATGAATATTCAAATGAGAAAGAAAAAAAAATTGTTATTCAATAAAAAAAAAAAAAAAATTTTGGTTTGTGTATAGACATATTGTACAGAATATATTTTGCAGGTCTTTTTTATCTTTTTAATGTTAAAAATGTTTTGAATAATTTTGGGAAGTTATTTGTGCATATTTTCTTTTTTCACATGGGTTTTTCTAGAAAAAATTTTATTGGAAAAATGACCAAAGACAGTGAATGTCTTGAAGATTAAAGCAACAATTTTAAGTTTGTCTTTAAAGTGTTTAAAGATACTGATGTGTTGATATTATTGTTGTTTATTTTTAAATTATTTCATTGCAAGCAAGGCAATGAAGCCACTAAGACACAAAGAGTTACTGAGTGTGGGAGAATATGAAAAAAAATTATTAAAGAGAACAATAAAAGAAAATGAATTAAAAAGACAAGGTAATGATTGACATTGCATTTAAATTTTTGAAAATCAAGTTGACTGGGAAGCAAGAAACCAAAAGAGAATTTCCACAACTGAGAAGTGCAAGAGAAAAACTGTTAGCATAGAACTTATGGTTATATCTAGCCAATTGAAATGTTAAGACTTTCCCTAGACATCAATCCTTTACTGCACTTAAATTCATAAAGTTTAGGTACCATAGAAGAAAGTTCATCAGAGCAATTACCTTGAAAGTATTTATAGAAAAGTCATAGTGAAGGTACATTACGGCAGTGGGAAAATGACTGAAACTGAGATATCAGCTCTAGACAAATAACATTGCAGATTCTTCTTTGTATTTTATCAAGAACCTCTAAATATATAGCAGAAGTACCAGACAAGGTGTGGCAGCAATATTCAAAGATTGGATGAATGGTAGACTTATAAAGAGAAAAACTGTCTAATAAAATAGTGAACCAACTTTCCTAGCAGTTGATTCAATTTAAACTTTCTGCTTCATGTTAGTGGAAAATATTAGCTTTAGAAGGCACAATGAGTCACTCTCTTGGAGGTTAGCATCAGTCATATGGATGGAAGTAAAAAAAGGTTCATTCAGATGATTAAAAGAGAGCAGTCTTATTTTGGAGACATTAAAATTAAAAGCTATTCTTTACCCCAGTTAACAACAGACTGTAGGTCATTTTTTGCGATCAGCTGCCAATTTTGCCTTATGAAACTGATCTGACTTACTGTTAAGACAGGAGTAAATAGTTGTGTCATCAGCAGAGATAATGAGCTGAAAACTGATGACATCAGGAAGGTCATTGATAAAAATTAGGAACAACATAGGTTCAAGGAGAGAGCTCTGATGGATACCTGCGTTAATGCAAAATGATCTAGAAGAGTGATCGTTTAAGACAACTTTCATTTTGCAATTTGATAAGAAAAACTGACTTAGTTAAAAAAAAAAAAAAAATCATCCAGAAATACCATGACCTTTGAACTTGTGAAGAAGACCAGAAGTTGGTAGCTGCCCAGCAGCCTGGAGTGAAGAATCAGCAGTGACTGAAGCGACAGGCAGTGAATGTAAAGGTGTTTTTTTTTTTTTTTTTTTTTTGTGGCTAGAATTTAGTAAGATAGCACTTCCCTTTTCTAAGCTGAAGGATCCCACAGTTAAGTGAGAAATCATGTTGGTGGCAACTCCCAAAGACAATTATCATTATTATTTTTTGTTGAATGTGATCACGGCCAAGAAGACAAACCTGTGAACATAGTGAGTTGGGTGTATATGCAGATACAACTGATCACAGATGTCATCACAGGTGCAATGAATGACAGACAAGTGGAGAACGTCATCACTAAACTTTCACAATTTTGCCACAAATGTTGTCACACTTCCCAATCATCTACATCAGCCAATTTGAGGTTGAGCCCTTCTTATTCGCTGGTCCTAGATTACAAAGGACACTGGCCCTGTCTGCTCCAATATTCTATTATAGGATTCCCACCTCTGGTCCAATTTTCCTTCTCTCAGATGAATCTTGTAGAACATAGGATCTCCAACCCCATAACTCTACTTCCTTTGTTCTCCTTCTCATTCCTCTTCTTTTGTACCCTTTTTATTGCGATTCTGGCCTGAGTAAACAAATTATGCTGTCTGGGTTACGCCCTTAGCCACAGCATCAATCTGTAGTGGTCTTGCTTTAACATATCATCTACTGACAAAACCACCTTTTGTCTGAATAGCATATAGTATAGTGAGAACTTTGAGGTCTCATTTGTGGTAAGCATCACTACCACTGAGACCTTCATGAAATACAGGTCCCAATTCTTGGTGTTATCCCTTGCCAATTTAGCCAATATACCACCTCAGGTCATATGAAAGTACTCTGTGAATGGTATGGGGAAGTGTTCACATGGACTGTATTTAGGCTCATCAAGGCTTCACTCATTATCTTATTTACATTCTCTGGTCCATTGTCTGTAACCAATTGTACTGGGGCCCCAGAGTGAGGAAATCTTTCTGTCAGTATCAAGTCTGACTCTGTTTGGGCTCTTTTACCAGGTATTGCATATGCCTTGGGCCAATCTACAAAACTCAATATGTATAAATTTCCCCTTGGGGCCCTCCTCATACAGTGTTGACATGTCCTTACTCCCTCTCACAAAGGAGAAGTTGGGGACATCTGTCTCCAACTGTGGGGCTGTTTTCTGCCTTATACTCTAGACCTGACACATCACATAACCCTGTACATAGTTGGTGACCTCGTTATATAGCCCAGATCAATAATAGTTTCTCGCTATCGGATCACAGATTTTATCGATTCCCATGTGACTCAGTTTCTCATGATATTGTTCCAATATTCTGGCTTTCAGCTCTATAGGCACATATAATCTAAGTCTTACCTCTTCATCCTTCCCTGAGAGGTAATATAGCATTTCACTATGCACTGCAAGCTTAAAGGTATTACCTGCCTCTATTTTTGCTCTGAGGGAAGCTATCTCACTGTCCTCCTGAACCTCCCTTATTGCTTCTTTCCAGCAAAGATCAGCCACAACTTGTGTGGTCTCTTCAATACTGGACAGTCCTTTAATGTATTGGAGTTGATTACGTGTATCTGGTAGGCCCTCTCATCTACACTTGACTCTACCCTGTTTTGTGATTCTTGACAGCAAATCTGTGCATGTATTATTCTACAGGGTTAGGTATTCTCTCTTACAATTGTACCCACTCAAATTCAGTGCCCACTGCTGGATCTTTTTGTTAGCCCATGCAGCTTCCAGCAAGTATTGGATTGGCTTGTGGTCAGTCTCGATAGTGAATACTGCCCCATTCATGTAGTAATCTAATTTTTACAAGGTATACATAATGGTGTATGCCACCTACTCTATCACTGGCCACCTCTGCTGCATTTTAGGGTGTCTATGGGATGGGAAGTATACTGGTACTTTATTTGGTACATCAGACATTTGACCATCCCTGTTTGGGCATGGCTGAGTAAGGACTGCTCCAGTACACTGATCACTAGCATCTGTGTAGAGGGTCAACAGCTTACTAAGGACTGGATACGTTAATAAAGGTATTGCAGTCAGCTGCTCCTTCAGGCTGTCAAATGCTCTGACAGTCCTCTGTCCACCTAAACCTAGCATACTTTTTGGTCAATGCTATCATAAGGGTAGCCAGCCTAGAAAATTCTGGAATGAATTGTCAGTACTAGCCTATGGTTCCTATGAACCTGCTTACCTGCCTCACCATTTTGGGCTCAGACATTTCTCTTATTACCCCTGCCTTGTCCAGATTGGGCTTAATCCCATCTTCATTTATTACGACTCCCAGATACTTTGTTTCCTCTTTCAGGAACTGACACTTTAGTAATTTTAACTACAATCCATGTCTCCTTAACTGTCCTAACACCTGTCTCAAGTGGTCGAAATGATCCTTTGGTGTTTCAGAGAACACTAAAATATTATCCAAATAGGCCATGACAAAGCCCTTTATTTTGCTCAACACTATTGACATCAGCTGCTGGAAAATGGCATGACCCTAAACTGAAATAAACCCATATAGCATGCAAACATGGCCTTTTCACGATCTGCCTCATTGAGTGTTACCTGCCAATGAGGCTGACTTCAAATCTGTTGTTAAGGAATACTTAGCCTTTCCTAGAAGTGCCAAGATGTCATCTATCAATGAAAGGGGCACTGACAGTGATTTTGTGATAGCATTCAGCTTTCTAAAATTGACACAGAATAATCTGTGCCTCAACTCCTTATCTGCCACTATTATGGGGAAACTCCAGGGAGATTCAGGCCTCTCAATCATTTCTAATTCTAGCATGTCCTTAACTGCCTCCTCCACCAGTGGTCCATTATTTCTTCCTCTTTTACTTCCCCTACCTGATTATGTTCCTTTGTTCATCATATATCACCTGCTTTATGGATCCTATTGGTAGAGCCCTTCCCACCTCTTCCCCTTTCATTGTTTTTACTATCTTGTTGGCCAGATTGCACAACATTATAGCTACTATCTCTGCTGCTTCCACCACTGTTTCACACAAAACCACTTCTTCTTCAGGATTATATTTCTCCACAGGGGTTATTTGAAAAATTCTTTTCCCCAATTTTCCTTTTGCTACCTGCTTACTTCTACCTGACATTGCCCTCCTAGGAGGTAGTTTTATGTAAGTGTCAATCACTACTGATACTGTCTTCTTTTTTTTTTTTTTTTTTTTTTGAATCCACACCACTTGGTCTGATGTCCGTTTTGGCCACACCTAGTGCATTTTGGCTCGTCAAAATCCAGTGGCAGGTTCCACTTTTTCAGACAATCTACTGCCCTATGACCTTCATGATTACAAGTCCAGCATACTAACCCATATCTGCCAGGTGTGGGCTTATAGAAGCCA